TTTTTTTTTTTTTATATATATTTATATATTTATATATATATATATATATATATATATATATATATATATATATATATATATATATATATATACATACACATGTAATGAATTTTTTATTAACATTATTTTGAAAAATTACATTAATATTTTAAATAATGAGAGGTATCGATATCGTAAAAATTTTAACAAAAAAGCGGTATCGTATCGAAATTAAAAATTGTGGTATCACCCATACCTATTTTTTTCTATTCTATTAGTTGCTTATTTCCTTGCATATTAGCTTTTTGATTAATGTTTATAAAGTACACAATAATGCCTTAGTCTTATGATAATATTCTACATCATCTAATCGTCTTACCTTAACTTAACTGCTAAAACAGCTTCCTTGCTAAAAAAAAAAAAAAAAAAAAAACAAGCAGAAAATTAGGAGTTTACTGAGAAATAATAAATAGTGAATATGTGTTCAACATAAGGTGTATTTTATTGTAGAATATTCTTGATCATATCCATTAATATTGTTAAGTCTGCAAGTAGAGTACCAATTCAAGTGCGAGTGTTTCCCAGGGGACTTTTCCCCTTATTTCACATCAAAGGCCTTGTATAAATATCTAAACTTTATATGCGGGAAAAAGCGTGGCCTCTAAATGCAGGTAACATCGAAAAAACCTTTTAAGAATATTGGCGGTTGTGCATTGAAAGTTGAGACAAAAAAACACAACATTAAAGATGAAACGTTTCCATCAAAGCTAGAGATAGGGGATACTGGTGTAAGCCAATGTCTATTTAACTGAGCAGAAAATGGGAGTGGTTTTGCACAGAGCTCGGTGTGTTGGAGCTGATCTGATTTGTAATCAAACGCTACCACTTATACCGCTCTTACCCCTAAAAGCTTCCCATTATTGCTGTGCCAGTTGAGTCTTGGCTTTGGGGCCGGATTGTTGATGGCTGCAAACCGCAGTGCCATAGTTACTGAATCTTTCCTTGTACTTGACTTTCACTTGATCCGTTCAGTGTAACCAAAACATCACTTGACTGACAGATAAAACCTTTTAAAGAAATAGTTCCCTCAAAAATGTCAAGTCGGTCACCCTCATGTCATTCACACGTGCTCATTTACAAACTTGTCCTGATAAGGCATCAGAGTTAAGCTCAAAATGTAGTGCATTACAAATTACTAGTACAGTCATTTAAATTTAATTAATTACACTACAATACTGCTGTCTCTAAAATGTAATGTTACACTACGTTTGTTCTACTTTTAAGTTGCTATCACCAAAATAACCACAGAAGTATGACTACATCTACAAACATTAATTTTGCAATTCATTGTAATGATCAGAGATGTATAAAGTACTAGAGACCCAGACTTAAGTAAAAGTACAAGTGCTCTATCAAAAAAGTGACTTGAGTAGAAGTTGAAGCGCTCTTTAAGAACCGTACTTAATTAAAAGTACTAAAGTATTCAACAATACTTCAACAAGTATTTCAAAATGTACTACTCAAGTACTGAAAGTAAAAGTACAAGTGAATGTTTACAGTTAAATCTATTAGTGATACTAATGTCATTTACTGTGAAAAATTACAGTAACATGTTGTAAAAATCAGATTTTTTTTAACAGTGTATGTAATAAATATTTATTGAACATTATTTTTTAAATTACCTTTGATTATTACACTTTCAAAGCAGTGAACTGAAAAATTACAAGCATCTTAAATGTCAAATAAAAGCTAACTGATTGATTGATTGATTGATTGATTGATTGATTGATTGATTGATTGATTGATTGGTTGATTGATTGATTGATTGATTGATTGATTGATTGATTGATTGATTGATTGATTGATTGATTGATTGATTGATTGATTGATTGATTGATTGATTGGCTGGCTGGCTGGCTGACTGACTGACTGACTGACTGACTGACTGATTGATTGATTTATTGGCTGGCTGGCTGGCTGGCTGACTGACTGACTGACTGACTGACTAATTGATTGATTGATTGATTGATTGATTGATTGATTGATTGATTGAACATGCACATATTTTTCTCTTTAGCTGTGTTTAAAACATGTGACTAATGATCTCTTATATATAACTATCAGCACTTTTTCCTCATACTCACCTGAATCACTAATGACTCTGTCTATCTCTGCCTCAGTCACTCACCGTCTGCAAGACTGAATTCCGGACATTGTAAAACACTAATAAAGCAGTAAAGTATTTTTAGTAAAGTAAATTTTTCTTTGTGTGTGTGTGTGTGTGTGTGTGTGTGTGTGTGTGTGTGGTGGTCAGAGATGTATAAAGTACTAGAGACCCAGACTTAAGTAAAAGTACAAGTGCTCTATCAAAAAAGTGACTTGAGTAGAAGTTGAAGTGCTCTTTAAGCACCAGACTTAAGTGGAAGTACTAAAGTGTTCAACACTTTTTGTACTTAAGTATTGCAAGTAGTTTATTTCAAAATGTACTACTCAAGTACTGAAAGTAAAAGTACAAGTATTGTGTAATGTAGTTATTAAAGAAAGCAGTCAAAAGACATCATGTTGTTCTGCTTATTTTAGATATCTTTTTTTGGGGCACGTGATTAAGCAGAACGAAAAGAAGCAGAGCTTACGATACTGTTTTTTCTCTCGCGCTTGAACCACAGATCTGACAGATTATAACAGCTTTAATGCCTTTCAAAGATGTACGTCACAAAAACACTCCGTGATCCACTCAAAACCCTACTGAAACCCAATTTCGGATCGCAAATTATTAGCTGTAAACGATGTAAATGGAAGTTCTAAACATTCTACCGGAAGACGCTGGTCAGTATGGCGCCCTCCATGCAGCCGCCAAGAAAAAGGTCTATAATTTTAAAAAGTAGGGGTGTGAATCTACACTGGTCTCACGGTTTGGTTACGATTATCATGCCATCGATTCGATTCGGTGCATTGATGATGCTTTCCATTTTGCTTTCAGAATTTTTTTAAATTAAAATCTATAAGTAAATTAATATTTTTACATATTATTTGTAATACAATTTTGTACTTTAACCAGAAAGGGCTGCGATCGGCTTTAGAAATGAAAGCGCTGTTCACCGATGGCGGGAAGAACAGCCGCGGTTATAGTCTGTATGCACATAATACGCAGTTATCACAGGTAATCCGTAATAGACACAGTGGAGAAAACTTGCACTTCAGGCACACTAATGACTGAATCCACAAGTATCGCTTTAACAGCCAAGAGGAGAGGAAAAGTTACCTCACAAACACGCCAGCGCAGCGGTCAAATGTCCAAAGGAAGAGAGAGAGGTAAAGATGAAGTTTTACAGCATTTCTACGTAGTAGTGACACAGCTACTTCATTGTAGTAAGAGCGTTATTTACTCCTCCTCGCCTCCTTCGCCATAGTATTCTACTGCAACATTGCGACTAGGAGATAAATGACGTCAGCACGTAATAACCAGTATTGATCTATTACTGAACCGATATCAATCATTTTGACACCCCTAGTAACGAGTAACGATGCAGCACATAAAAATTCTATCGGAGTAAAAGTATTAAACTCATCGAAAATATGTACTGAAGTAAAAGTGGAAGTGGGAGAAAAAACAATACTCCAGTAGAGTACAGATACAGCCTTTTAGTACTTAAGTACAGTAGTGAAGTAGTTCACTCTGAAGATATTTGTTAGGTGCAAGATTCAAAATCAATAGAATAAATATTGTATAATAAAATACATTTTTTGAAACGTATTCAGAGGATACATGAACACTATCATCTATCACAACCATCTACCCATCCTCAAATTCAAATACAAAAGCCCACAATATAGCAGCCCTAAGTACAATATGTTTGCAAGGCTGCTTCTGAGGTTAGATACACAGTAGTGATGGGAAGTTCAGATATTTAACGTGGATGTTAGGACTCAACATTATTTAGTCAGCAATAGTCATTTCAGTCAGTTAAAACATCACCATGATCTGAAAAATGTCTTACAGTAACGTTTTGCAACCAAACTGAAGCATGATTCACTTATTTAAATTCCAGTATGATTTTCTGTTATAAAATAAACTTACGGTTTTCACCAGATCCTGTCATTTGAGCCCTCGGTTTACCTGCGCTGCAGTTGTTCAAATTAAGTTCAGTCGCACAGCAGGCGTCATATACTGTTTGTGTTTGATTTACTGAATCACGCATTCGCAGTATTATCGGTTCAACGCTTCTCAATGCAACGTTACTGTTCTAATAACTGAATGAGAGTATATATTGGATTATTTAGAGTTAGAGGGGGTATTAGGCTTGTTAAAAAGTAAGTAGTTTGTGGATAAGTGCTTACTGGAGACACGAATTGTTTCAAATGATTCAGTTTGATTTTGTGAAGTAGTTCAACCGGTTCACTTAGAAGATCCGGTTAAAAAGATTCGTTTGCGATCGCGATACAGAAATAAAACCTATTATTGGGCACAAATGGGTTAAAGTAATAGTTTAAAGTGTCTGTATTTAATGCTGTCACCGTGATGCTGTCATGCCCACTCGTTGTTTTTGTCGCGGGAGCAATTAACAGCGAGGATGACTGGAGGAGAACCGGCTCGATCTGGCCAATGGCTGCAGGACTACAGACTCTGAGGTGCCGTACGGGTCAAACACCTGCAGCGCGAACTATATTTACTTCTAACAGGCTAACAGTAAGATTATGTATTAAATACACTCACAAATACGAAAACGAAGGAGGTTTTTGCCATAATTTTAGTTAGTTTCAGTTAGTTTTGTATGTACACAATACAGTTTCAGTTCTAGTTTTAAAAAAAAAATTGTTTTTATTTTTATTTCAGTTAACGACAATTATTTAACATTTTAGTTTTCGTATTTTCATTCGTTTTTGTTAACTATAATAACCTTGATTTGTATAATTGCCCGTGCACTTTTCTCTTATGTCTGCTATTTGTCTCTTATGCCACAATCTACTGCTTCTGGTACTTCAGCTCATGATCATTTGAAGAAGCAGCAGTGCTGTTTTATCAGACTTAATACATTTGAGGCTCCTGTTAAAATGCTGCTCTGTGCAGTCTAATAAAACACACAACATATTAAAGCCTGGCTGATGTTTACCTGTTTTCTAGAAAACCAGAAACCGAGGGTGTGTGTGTTTATGGGTGATGGGTTTAAGCATGAACACCAGCAGAAGATTCTTCAAATAATGTAAGTACACAAGTCAGCAAAAAATGCATTGCTTTTGGGGGTTTTGGATGTTTCTTGAACATATTTAGCCTTTAGGCCCTTGCACACTGAGCCGACACAAGAGAACTAGTGGTGAATAAAGCTGAAGAAATAGCTTGCATTATATCTAAAATGTTTAACTTCAACACACCACAAAGACTACAACCAAAACTGGGACATTCCCTGACAGCCGACTATCAAGCTGGTGTGTCAGAGCCTTCAAGGAGGAGCTCGAAAATGCTTATTCCCAAAAAACACACACAAAGTAAAACTTTGAGAATCAAATACGTACCTTCCGTCCTACTTCATTGTTATGCAGGTTCATAAGAGTCCTGGCACTGTGTTTTATCTCTTTAGCATCCATAAAAACTTTGGAGAAGCCCAGGCCGTATCGGACGTCTGCCGAACAGCCTCCCCATTTCCAGCCATTGTCATGAGCATAGAAGCCCTGTTTGTCTTTGTCGCAGCTGCATTCGCTGAGGTTTCCCCGCGTACAGGCCGATGTGATGGCGTGAGCCACTCCTGCTGCGATGATGGCGTACATGAAAGCAGCCTCTTTACTGCCTGCGGACACAAGACACAACTTCAGTTCCTTCAACATACACTTCACAACACATGCTGCAACAGTTGGGAACACTTTAGTTGAAGGTTGATAAGACTGTCATTAAACCTTTATTATCATGTATTGAATGTGAATAAGATTTTATGCATGCTAATAACAACTGTCATTTAGGGCCCTATCATACACCCGGCGAAATGCAAGGCACGATGCAATTGTTGTTTGCTAGTTTCAGCTTGGCGCAAGAGTCGTTTTGACATTTTGCGCCACGCTGTTTAAATAGCAAATGCATTTGCGCTCATATGTGCGCCCAAAGGCATTCTGGTCTAAAAAAGAAGGTGTGTTGAGGCACATTGCTGGCGCGTTGCTATTTTGAGAAACTATAATAGTCTGTTCTATAGACCAGGGGCCTCATGTACGAACACTTGCGTGGAAAAACACTGCGTACGCCGAATCTCACGCATATTCTTTTGTATATCCGAATGAACGTGAAACTGAGCGCAACATGCACGAGCACAAAACCCCTCCCTGCTTCCTCCCCTGTATGAATATGCTAATGACTCTACTTTGGCAAAACCCAACGAAAAAGCAACGGCAAAAGCAAGCAAAAAGAGAAACTTTGAACAGAATGTGAATTGGAGGTGCTGCTTTCGGAGGTAGACCGGAGAAAAGCGGTGTTATTTGTTTTTTTGTTCTCCGGAATCAACAACAAAAGAAAAAAATTGAGTGGGAGAGTTTAGCTGATGCGGTTAACACAGTTGGGTCTGAACATCGCACTGAGTGAATTAAAGAAGAAATAGTGTGATTTATAGGTGTAAAATGTTGCAGTACCCGTAACAGTCTCAGTGGCACAGCTTGTAAGACACATGTCAACATATTTTGACACGTTCGAGCTTGAACTCGGTTCGAATCCAGCATCTGATGCACTCATTCTTCTTTTTTCCCCCGCTACATATCAGATTTTGCCAACTATTTATCACGAGAAAGACAAGTAGGAATCATTAATAAGTTTGTGCATCATATTTTATTTGCACATTTATTGAATGGAAATGTTTCTGATTCACGCATGCAAATTCATCTTCAGATAGTGTCTTTATAGCAATGTGCGTGCAGTAGATAGCTCAGATTACATTGAGAAAACAGGCGACTGCTGCAAATTGTGCTTTAATGTTTAGCTGGTCAACTGTATGATATGGAAACCTTATATACCTGCTAGATGAACCCGTCTCATACAGCTGCCATTGCAAGGCTCAGACACTTTGTAGAGAGGAATTTAACACAACTGCCTCTAGGAGTCGCCAATGGAAATAAGACAGACACGCACAAAAAATGTGCGTACGCCTGCCAGAAAGCTGCCGTGAAGCTGCGCACATTCCCACGTTCAGTTCATTGTTAGTAAATCCAAACGTGAGCGATTCTGAGCGTGAAACCTGGCGTACGCAAAGTTTTTGTGCGTACGCAGCGTTGATACATGAGGCCCCAGAACAAAGCCGGTCTAAAGTCCAGCGCAGCGCACGTTAGTTGTGCGCTTGGCTTACACACTGCTTAACACACACAAGATGTAGAGCAATACACAAATATCTTTACATATGAAAAAGAATTAAAATATTGAGGATATATATATAGGATATAATAAGAATATATATAGGATATAAATATAAAGAATTAAAATATTACAAAACATATTATTTTCTAGCCTACATGGATTTAAAAACCCCTGCCTTCATGCCTTCTCTATCTCAGGAGGCTTTTTCAGTTTATTCATGACAGTTTGCTTTAGTAAAATGTTATTATTATTAGCAGTATTATTTATTAACTGCATATTTATATTTGTTTGTTAAAAAACAGCTTAGATTTATCCACCTGTCAGGTTTTAGACCATATGGGGCACAGCATGTGTATTAGGAACACACTTCGACATTATTGTTCATTTATTAGTTTGCTGGAAATTAAAACTGAATTTAGAAACAGTTTTGAAACGAATATTTGCGCTTAACAAACAAAATTATTTATGTATAGGCTATTGGATGTCTGTGCATACAACACGTTTCCCTGTCCATGAGAGCGAAAGTGAAAGTAAAGAATGAGGAGGCTCATTTCTCATTCTCGCGCTGCATTTGCTCTGTTTAACTGTTTTCTTGCGAGTAAGACGCTCAGTTATTCCACTTATGGTGCGACGCAGCTGGCTCTTAAAGGTAATGGGAGATGAGTCTCTGATTGGTTTATTCTCAAAACACTCCTATAACTCATTAAGAGAATAAACTCAACCCTTTTAGACCATGCGCCACGGCACAAAGCGGATTTATCCATCCCTAAAATAGCAAAAGTGGATTCCGACATGCCCTTAATGCTTTTGCACCCTGCGCTTTGCGCATGGATCTTCAAAATAAAGCCCAAAGTGTCATTCGCTCAGTTGTGACATTTTAAATGCAATAATGACATTGTTTTTTATGACAACTTGACATCACTAAGACAATGAAACTAGTCATAAATCCGTCATAAACATGATTAAATGCCATTATAAATGTCATGAATTTTATAAAACCATTATTAATATTTTTTTTACCTCAACTACAGTGGTACAAGCTGAATTTCATGTCATTAAATATTAATGATGATCTTAAAAATCTGACACATTTAATGGGACATTTTAATGTCAAATACAGTTTCTTTCACTTAAAAAGTTAATCGTTGTGACATTTATTATGGCTTCATGACAATCATGTTTATGACAGATTTATGACAAGTTTTGCTGTCTTGGTAATGTCAAAATGCCATGACAAAACAAAAACAGGTTGTGATATATTTGTTCATGTCAAGTTGTCATAAAAAACAATGTCATTTAATTTAATGTGCATTTAAAATGTCATAACTGAACATATGACCATAGATATATATATACACACTAGATATCGCATACGGACCCTGAGTATGCTTCAATAATGCTGCCACATTTATACAACGCACACTAGTCATGACTAAAGCCAATGTGAAGATGCTGTACTTTAGCGCTGTGTACAAGTGTAGTCATGAGCAAACAAAGAAAAAAGCACAAAGGCAGAACATTTCATAAACATTTAATAAGTTAAATTTTTATATGTAATGAACTTTTGTTCTAAACAATTTTAATGATAAAACAGTCACATACTACACTGATTATAAGGCAAAGTAGCACCAACTCAAAATAAACACTCAGCTTATGCTAGTTTTGTTGAATAAAATCAGCAAAAAATGCAAAAGAAATATGACAACGAGATGCTGCGCTGCCAGAAACTTGTATTATTGTCGGCTAAGTGAAGGAGTCGTTCATAACGAAGATTCATTCACAAACGAATCGCTCCATGCGTTAGAATGAGAAGTGAAAGTGGGACAGGGGGTGTGTTTCAGGACATGGATTAGATCAAATTTAGCAGGGGGTGAGGACAATACATTTCCATACACACAAACACACGCTCCCACGCAATGCCCGTCCGCTCACTCATCCATCAGTGTAGAAAATGATTTTTGTAGTATAAAAAATTATTTGCACACTGACCACCAGGAAAACTCCCCATCATAGATACAGTTGGGGTCAGAATTATTAGCCCCCTTTGAATTTTTTTTTCTATGTTAAATATTTCCCAAATGACGTTTAACAGAGCAAGGAAATTTTCACAGTATGTCTGCTAATATTTTTTCTTCTGGAGAAAGTCTTATTTGTTTTATTTCGGCTAGAATAAAAGCAGTTTTCAATTAAAGAAAAATTTTTGGGACAAAATTATTAGCCCCTCACTGCAAAAAATGCTTTTCTTACATGGATTTTTTGTCTTGTTTCCAGTCCAAATATCTGAAAATTCCTAAATCAAGAAGAATTTTCTAGACTTGAGAAAAAAATATGCCAATATTAAGTGAGTTTTACCTTAAAACAAGCAAAATAATCTACAAATGGGGTAAGCAAAATAATCTTCCGTCAAAAGAAATAAACAAGATTAACTTGCTTACCCCATTGGCAGATTATTTTGCTTGTTTTAAGGAAAAACTCACTTAATTTTGGCATATTATTTCTTAAAACAAGACCATATGTTTTGCGTGTCTAGAAAATTCTTCTTGATATAAGAAATTTTCAGCCTGATCTCACAAGAAAACATAAGTATTTTACGTTTTGCCAGTTTAGTGGCTAATTCGTACGAATTCGTACGAGTTCAGTCGTACGAAATGGTACGATTTTAAAAAGGAGGCGTGGCACCTGACCCCACCCCTAACCCCAACCGTCATTGGGGGATAAGCAAATCCTACTAAACTGTACGAATTAGATCGTACGAATTCATACGAATTAGCCACTAAATGAAAAAGTTACGAATTGCCGTGAGATTGTGTTGGAAATTTTAGATATTTAGACTAGAAACGAGACAAAAAATCTAAGCAAGAAAAGCATTTTTGCAGTTCTTTAAGCTAATTTTTTATAGTCTGCAGAACAAACAATCATTATACAATAACTTGTCTAATTACCCTAACCTGCCTAGTTTACCGAATTACCCTAGTTAAGCCTTTAAATGTCACTATAAACTAGATAGAACTTGGACCTCATGAACTTTTATAAACTAATACGGTAGCAGTGGCATATTTTTAAGCAGGTTGGAATGGCAAAGCAAAAGTCCATTTGTCTCAGGTGACATCTTATCATGCTCTGTAATTTACACCTGTGGAAAAACTCTTCAGGCAGCAAATACCAACCCAAACACTGATACATGCACAAAAAATGTTAACACCAAACTCACAACATGGCTTTCAGAGTGAAAAGGGGAGCTATGCTCTTTTAAAAACAAAGAGAATCTAAGAGATTCGAAGTTTAGTAGGCGTTAAACATATATACAGCCCTTCAAATAACGTTATTCTCTTCTTTATAGAGCCATCTATGTGCTTTAAGAAGCCTGATCTCAAAATGGTAACCTAAAACTGTAAAAACATCATCAGATTAATTATTGGCATCAGCACTGACATTATGTAGCTATTCCCAAAAACTAGTCTATATCTTTTAAATTACTGTATTTACATTAAACACTGCTTAATGAGTAAGGTAAGTGTTACAAGTCAAAAAGGTTTTAAACACCAAAAAAACTCAGTAAAGGGTCAAAACACTCATTGTACCTTTTTATACTTTGAAACCACCACATTTTATCCATCTATTAACAGAGTTGTTCTCATTTATTCATTCATTTTCTTGTCGGCTTAGTCCCTTTATTAATCCGGGGTCGCCACAGCGGAATGAACCGCCAACTTATCCAGCAAATGTTTATGCAGGGGATGCCCTTCCAGCCGCAACCCATCTCTGGGAAACATCCACACACACACAGTCATACACTACGGACAATTTAGCCTACTCAATTCACCTGTACCGCATGTCTTTGGACTGTGGGGGAAACCGGAGCACCCGGAGGAAACTCACGCGAAGGCAGGGAGAACATGCAAACTCCACACAGAAACGCCAAATGAGCCAAGGCTCGAACCAGCGACCTTCTTGCTGTGAGGCGACAGCACTACTGCGCCACTAATAATTCTGACCTCAACTGTATATATAAAAGCCTAACTTTTGTCAGTTTAATTTGATGCAGACACCAAAATGTCTTTGATCCAACATATGAATTGCAGGTCACTCTGTATTTTAAGGTACAATTCTTGCAATTAATAAAGCATTAACTAAGGCTTTTAGCTTAATAAACTTCTACTTTACTGCTAATAGATATTAAGATAGTCATTAGATTTAGGTATTAGGATGTAGAATAAACTTTATAAGCACACTCTCAGAAAAACAAATACACTGTGGTACAAATAATGTTCCTTGTGGAACAGTTTTGTACCTTTGTAAAGATTGTACCTTATATGGTACAGAAAAGACCTCTTATTGTACTGTTCTGAACCTTTTATGGTACAACTGAAATAAAGGTACACAATTGTCCGCATATAAAAGGTTCAAAAATGTTGATCAACTTTTTCTTTATTACAATTTCTATGAAAATAAATATGACTTGAAGGCATATTTCTATGAATTATAAATGTTAAAATGTTAATTATTTAATTCTATAATACAATATTACAAAACAACTGGTTAAACATAAAACTATACGTATTGTAAACTTAACATTAAAGGCACTTTAAATAAATGTTTGGTAAGCATTTTTGAGGTGCAAAGTGTCTTGTCACTGTGGTGGTACCTTTATGGATCAGATTTAATGAAGGCACAATATTGTATCTGCAGGTTTTAAAAACCAATGGTACATTTTGGTTTCCCATGTAATGTCCTTAAAGGTACAAACTGCAATAGTACAAAATTTGTTTCTTTGTCTTTTTTGTACTTAATTTTATTGACTTTTTAGGAACATATAACCAGTGGAAACAAAACAAACAAATAAAAATAATACATGTATACATAAATATACATATGTATACATACATATATAGGCGAATACATCCATTCCACACATTTATATCCATATACAGTTGAAATCAGAATTATTAGCCCCCCTGAATTATTAGACCACTTGTTTACTTTTCCCCCAATTTCTGTTTAACAGAGAGAAGATTTCTTCAACACATTTCTAATCATAATAGTTTTAATAACTCATCTCTAATAACTGATTTATTTTATCTTTGTCATGATGACAGTAAATAATATTTGACTATTTTCAAGACACTTTTATACAGCTTAAAGTGACATTTAAAGGCTTAACTAGGGTAATCAGGTTAACTAGCCAGATTAGGGTAATTAGGCAAGTTATTGTATAATGATGGTTTGTTCTGTAGATTATCGAGAAAAAATAAAGCCTAAAGGGGCTAATCATTTTGTCCCAAAAATGGTGTAAAAAAAATTAAAACTGCTTTTATTCTAGCCGAAATAAAACAAACATGACTTTTTCCAGAAGAAAAAATATTATCAGATGTACTGTGAAAATTTCCTTGCTCTGTTAAAAATCATTTGGCAAATATTTAAAGAAAAACAAAAAAATTCGAAGGGGGCTAATAATTCTGACTTCATCTGTACATACATACATGTATAAGAATATTAAATAAACCTCATCTAAATAAATAAATAAGTATAAAATAAAATATAATAAAAGATTGTCAAACATATTTTCACAATGATGCATAACCTCTAGAATTATGTAAATGTTCAATTGTATTGTCGTTGAGGAGAAAGCCAGCCATTTACTCCATTTCTTTTCAAAGGTCTCTAATTGTAATTTGTTTCTTTGTCTTAAGGTACAATTCTGTCCCATACAAAGGTACTGCCCCAGTGACAAGGGTTTGTACCTTCTTTGGTACAACATTGAACCATTTTTTTTCTGAGAGCGTACTAATAAACTGCCACTATCTATTAATAAGCAGATAATAATAAATCAGTAGTTAATAGTGCAGTTGTTACTTAAAATAAAGTGTTAACAAATTGCAATAACTTTTTTAAATCTTCAAACATGCTTAAGCAGTTTGAAAGGACATGTCCAAAATATATGTATTTTTAATTATTTGTATATCTACTGATTGGTTCTGTTCTGGAGTATACTGTGATGCTTCCTATATCATGTACTTTAAGTGACTGTATAGGCCTCAACACTGTAAAAAATGCAAGGTTCCATACAATTCATTGATGTTTCCCCAACACAAATTAGGTTAACTTAACAAAATTAAGTGGATTGAACATAAAACAATGAAGCTGTCCCAAAAAGATCTCAATAATTGCGTTATTTCAGCTCTTTTTTTTATTTACTTTAAACAAGCAAGAAAAAATACACTTTTATGATCAAGTATCTCTGCTACACAGTTCAGCATTGAAATCTTAACTTAACCTACAGATAACTATTTTACCTCAGATTATTGATGTTAAGTTGGTTTATTCACACATTCAGACTTTCACCTATAAATCAATGTCAGTAAATTATTCTTTGCAAATTCTAAATCATATTAGCAGTAAATTTTTATCCAAATACAACATTGTCGATAGTAAATTAAAGTGCTAATGTTATTTTAAAATACTTACATGCGATTTTAGACTGAATATTTTAAGTAGCGTGGTAAACAATATGTCACAAGTTGTCAAGTTGATTAGTCTTTTAAAAAAAATTTTTTTTAATTATTAAAAATTATTTAATTTGCTTTTCTTTAAAAAAATTGTTATTGTCTCTCGGATTTTTGTATTTATTTTATTTAATATTTATTTTTATTTTTTTAATAAACTTTTATTTAGAAAAGAATAAATGTACAATATAAATCAGGAAGTAATCTGTAGAAGACTGGAATACACGAATATAAAATTACAAAGTGATAAGAACAATAAGTGAAAAAAGTAATAGAAAGAAAAAAAAGAGAACAAAACAAAGAAAGGGGAAGTACAAAATTGAATTAAATAAAAATGCAGAAAGCATTAATTACTAACATACTGGAAGCATCATATTTTCATAAGTTTCTATTAACTTGCAGAATTTTTTGTTGTTAGATAGACGTATAGCTTTAAGCAAGGAATCAATTTCAATTAAAAAATGGGCAAATGAGGGAGAGGATTTAAGACATTTTTGTTTGTGGATAAAGAATTTTGCATATAATATAAAAAAAGTTATATAAACATTCTTCATTTTTATTCTTGCAACTAGAATAATAACAAATAATATCTTTCAATTTAAAGATTTGTTTTGTTGATTGGGATTTATTCAAATAATTTTTAGAGATCTGACCAAAACTTTTGTGAGATTTTACAAAAAAATGTGAGTCAAAGTTTCCTCATTTTCCTGACAGAAAGAACACGTATCTGCAATATCAGTAAATCTTGAGATAAATGCATTGACCGGATATGTTTTGTGTAGAATTGTTTGCTTTGTTTGGGATCATTTATATGGGAGAAGCCATGTTCTTTTCCAATCAATATCAATCAATTGATTATTTTTTTTTGTTGGAGAATTCGAAGAATAAGTTTGTTGTTGCATTTCTTATTATATACTAAGACATTTTAATAATAAGGAGGGTTCTATGTTTTTTTATTTATATATGAAATATGACTCTCTTTTTTTTTGTTAGATGAGTCTTTTTAATTAATGCTTCATTTTATGAACTCCAAAAGTCTGAATGTGCAAATACCAATCAACTTTCCCTCAATAAATTACACCGTGTATCTTATCCACACCGATAAACCCAATTCCCTCTTCGTATCCCGAAACAGTTTTTCAAATTCCCCCGAACTAAAAAACACGCATGAGAAAGTTTCCAACATACCCACTTTCAACTCTTTTCCGAAGACGGTCCTCTCTCCGAGCGCGGAGCAGTTCCAGCGGCCGTGCTTGAACTGAAATTGGCACTCGTTGATGCCCATCTGTGCGCCCTCTCCGATCACGATGATCGCGTCCGGCCGGCTCTGGCAGATGATCCGCTGCCTGGGCGCCAGTCCGGGGATCTTGTTGCATATGATGCTCGCTCCCAGCGCCAACACGGTGGAGAAACCCCTACAAATGACCACAGAACTACGTATGAATATATCAACACTTCCTTATCTAATAAATATTCAAATGCATGCGAAATATGGGATGCAAAAAAAAAAAAAAAAAAAAAGACATCAGGGAAGAGTCTGGAGATGGGCTTCAGGGCACGAGCGCGCACCGCAACGAGCGCGCGCAGCAGTGCGTTTGGAAAGCATACAACAATAAGTGTCTTTTTCTTCGTTGTCGCATTATTGTGTTGACTCAGTGTTGAAGTTAAACTTGCAAAACTATTGACAAAATATAGTAACTGTATGCATTCTTCAAAAATATGATGTACATTACTCCAACATAATAAGATGTACAGCGCGTTCGTGTTTGATCCTCACCCCATTTTCAAGTAGATTATTCCGAGACAAAGAAAAATGTGAAACATCCAGCGTCGTGTTTTTCTGCTCATGATGGTAATGTGTTGTAAAACGAGAAGCTGGATCTTCAGTTTGAATAGAGAGTCTTTCAGAGTCAGTCTGTAACAGGTTTGATGTCCAGCTGTGCTCGTGAATGCAGTGCACCTTCAAGGTGTATCCAGTGTACGGAGAGTCTTCATAGCGGCACAGGTACAGCAGATGTGCCGGTGCGGGTCTGACCCCTTCACCCTCCTGCAGGACTTTATATACCTGGGCGTGTTCAGATGCGCTGAGGGCCCCACCCACGCCTTCATACTGTACACAGAACTGCTTGCCTTCATTCCGCCAACAAGTCTTTGGTACAGCTTTTATTATGAATACCACCACTCACTCAAAAACATATTGGGAAGACTTGTCTTTGTGCATTTAAGAAAATCCTGATTGTTATTTGACCTTAAAAGATGTTTTGAAGGGATGTTTTAAAAATCACTTTTATATGCTAATTAAACTGTGTGGCAGCAGTGAGTGAATGTAGGCAACTTTTAATGTCAAAAATGAATTAACTTGATTTTTTATGATCACACTTGATTAAAACAGTCTGCAGAAACACTTTGATTGACATTCTCGCTTTGTGCTGTCTTCCGAACAGACCATGACCATAAGCATACTGCCAAATTAGTTAAAATGTGCTTTAAGGACAACAGAGTGAATATTTTGGAGTGGCCATCACAAAGCCCTGAACTCAATCCTATAGAAAATCTGTGAAAATAGTTGAAAAAGCTTGTGCTAGCAAGAAAGCCTACAAATTTGACTCAGTTACACCGATTCTGCAGGAGAAATGGGCCAAAATTCCTCCAAACTATTGTGAGGAGCTTGTGAAAGGACACCCAAAACATTCGACCAAAGTTAATTATGTAATTTATTTGTTTTATTCTGAATGTTATTTCGTAATGGACATCTTTTATATATACACGTTTTTTTTCGATCAATTTATTGCCCATTACACATTTGTGACCCAGAACCACAAAACCATCATACATGTTAGTTTTTGGAAACTGAATATAGATAGATGTACATAAATCAGCTTTCCATTGATGTTGACTATTTGATAATGTTAACTATTTCAAAATCTGGAATCGTCAAAAAAATCACATTTAAATTTCTCTAAATCATGTTTGAATAAATTCATGAGTTTTGATAGATTTACAATAGGAAATATATTAATGAAACATAATCTTTACTTAAATAAAATTAAATATGAAATAAATGGGGGGAAAAAATGAAATAAATGCACCATATGACTAATCTGCAGTGCAAGCTCACATTTGCCTGAAACAACATAGCAATTTAACTCACATACTAATATTAAAAGTCACCCTAGCAGAGGATGGTTTCGAACCATCGACCTCTGCGCCACTGTGCTGCTACATTGTAGGTGGCATTTAGCTGTGGATACTGCTGGTGAAGCCCCAATGAGGTGACGCAGTGGGTAGTTCTGTTGCCTCACAGCAAGAAGGTCGCTGGTTCAAGCCTCGGCTGGCTCAGTTGCCGTTTCTGTGTGGAGTTTGCATGTTAAAACAGTCTGCAGAAACACTTTGATTGACATTCTCGCTTTGTGCTGTCATCAGAAGAATAAAGCCACCTGCCCGCTAGTGACCATCTCTCGCTCTTTAGCATAAACATCCCTGAGCAGTGGTGGAAAGACTACCGAAAATTCATGCTCAAGTAAAAGTACCACTACTTGCCCAAAAATGCAGCCTAAGTAGAGTAAAAGTCTAAATATTACTCAAAATATGAGTAAAAAGAAGCCATTTTAAAAGTACTCAAGAGTTGTGAGTATTACGCTGTGTAAAGCTGATGAGTTTACACGCAATTTGTGCTTGTGTGTGTGTAAACTAACATTCTGTAGTGCATTATTGTTTAAGACTATTTGGTGATTTGGTCATCATTAAGTAAACACCCGTCATCCTCTCATCATTGACATGCAGTGTAAACAGTCTGGATTGTTGCGTGTAAAGATTCAGGGCATCTTCTTGGACACTTTTAATGCTTCCAAGCGGTTTGCTGCATTTATAAAGCATCCATGTCTTGAGTTAGTTCAGTATGATGTGATTTGCTGTGTGATTTGATTGGACAGGAATCACAAGACTTTTTTACTCAGCCAATCCCCATGCATAGACAAGAAAAAATAAAGTAGTGACCGCAAGGAAAGTAGTTTAGTAAAAGTACTGATACCGCACTAAAAATGTACTCAAGGGAAAGTAAAAGTACACATTTTTAAAACTAATTAGTAAATTACAATTCCTGAGAAAAACTTCTCAGTTACAGTAATTTGAGTGTTTGTTATTGTTACTTTACACCACTGGCCCTGAGTGAGAAGCAGCCGTCCGCCATTAAACATTTAACCCTAAAACTGCTGAAGATAATGTCAGCAACTATGAGGCATTATAAATGTGCAGATTTAGGATGCACAAATGAACACTGTAGTCTCTATAAGACTCCATAGTTTTTTAGAGTTAACGTTAGTCCTGTTTTTTTTTTTTCAATCTGCTGCTATGCTGACACATTTTTTAAATATGTAGAACCACGTTGTTGCCTAAATGCAAACTTTTTAGGAATCCCTTATTTGAGCAGATTAAATGGACCAAAGTTTAAAGTTTTGAAGTGTGGGTGTACTTGAATAACTAATTTAATTTGACCATTTTTACTTGTAGATATATTGGGGGTTGTAATTGCAAGCATAGAATATGGGAGGAGATGGGCTTGGGTGGATTTACCTCCCCCTAATAAACTCCCCCCTCACCACCATCCAATCCCCAAACTATGCCCCTGATCAGAAATGTCATTCAGACAAATTTGTAATGACTGCAGTGTCACATTCTAGTCCTTTCATTTTTGGATAAGCCACATTAGTTCAAATAACAATTACACATGAATACTTAACAGTATTTGTTTATCAGTTTAAGAAAAATGTCCAGCACCTTTCAGCAGCAGTCACTCCCCCTACTGGCATAATCCGATAGTGAAGTCAACGAAAGCCTGAAATGCCCTATTTTTGTGTCAAATTAATTCAAATTAAACTTATTTAATACACCCACCGGTCACTTTATTAGGTACATGAAGGAACTTTCGTTTTATTTGATGCAAACTAGCCAGATTTCTTTCCGAAATTAAAAACTCTCTGATATTTAGAACAAAATAAGATCTCTGGGTTTGGAAATTTTTCAGATCTCATCAATAGTACAATTGTAAATAGTTAAATATATTTTGTAAATAGTTTTATATATATATATATATATATATATATATATATATATATATATATATATATATATATATATATATATAGTTGAAACCAGAAGCTTTCATACACTGTAAAAAAAGCACATAACCATTTAAAAAAAGTCAGATGTTAATGTGACTAAACGTTTTCTCTTTTAGGTTAGGTTAGTTAAGTTAGGATTATCAAATTAGTTTCTGTTCTGCTTAGTAGCAGAATAATGAGAGATATTTTTGGAGAAATTGTTATAACTTATCTTGTAATTCAAGCATATATACAATAAGATTATTCTGCCTCTGAGAAAGCTCAGATGATGGTGTCAAGGTTTTGGAAGTTTCTGATTGGCTAATTGACAACATTTGAGTTAATTGGAGGACCAACTGTAGAATAGTATTAAAGGAAAACCTCAAACACACTGCTTCCTTGTGTGACAACATGGGAAAATCATCAAGCCAGAATCAACAACAAAGCCAGATTACAATTTGCTAAATTACACTGGGAAAAAGACTCATTTTTGGAGACATGTCCTGTGCTCTGATGGAGCTAAGATTGAACTGTTTGGCCCTAATGACCAGTGTTACATTTGGAGGACAAAGTGGAAAGCTTACAAGCCTAGAAACACCATCCCAACTGTGAAGTATGGGGGCGGCAGCATCATGTTGTGGGGCTGTTTTGTTGCAGGAGGGACTGGTCCACTTCACAGCATAGATGGCATCATGAAGAAAGAACATTATGTAGAAATACTGAAGCAACATCTCAAGACATCAGCCAGGAAATTAAAACTTGGCCAAACTTCCAAACAGACCATGACCCTAAGCATACTGCCAAATTAGTTAAAATGTGCTTTAAGGACAACAGAGTGAATGTTTTGGAGTGGCCATCACAAAGCCCTGAACTCAATCCTATAGAAAATTAGTTGAAAAAGCTTGTGCGAGCAAGACAGCCTACAAATCTGACTCAGTTACACCAATGGAGGAATGGAGGAATGGGCCAAATTTTGACCATCTAGAAATTAATTAAAAATTTGCTAAAAAAAAACTATTTCTCACTGTCCTGGCATTTAGCAAATGTAAACTTTTAGTATGATTTATATATATATATATATATATATATATATATATATATATATATATATATATATATAGGTGTGTGTGTGTGTGTGTGTTTTGAATTTATTATTATTTTTCTTTCTTCTTTGTTATTTTTTTTCTTATAAGTTAGCGGTTCATTCCGCTGTGGTGACCCCGGATTAATAAAGGGACTACGCCGAAAAAATAAAAATGAATGAAGTCTTGATAAGGCACAGCTGCAGATACTCACATAAATATGACATTTCTCGGCCCAGCGCCAACATATTGTTTTGTTTGTCTGTTTGTTTTTGTCAATGTATGTAACGTCCCTGAGGTTACACCCACACCGTACAAAACGTCATCCTGACGTCACCACGAAACTGAAAGTAGCAGAAAAGAGGCGGTGGTTGGTACAGTGGTAACTGCAGATGGAGATGGAGGTTTGTCAGAGTTTGCCTCTGGACTGTCTGATCAGTGTTTTCGCCCTTCTTCAGGATGAAGATTTACTGACTGCGTCTGTCGTTTGTAAGGTAACGTTAAGCAACTCCGCATGATGACTCTAGAATAAATGCAGAACATCTGATGCGACGGAAGACTTTATAGTCATTCTTACGATTTAAGTAGTTGTTTTTTTCTGAGAAACGGGACCACTTGTGACCAGCACTGATTAAAGTGTAAATCGGAATGCGGAAACAGGTATGCTTGTGATCATAAACGGCTTTGATTCGTCCGTTCTAAAGAAGCGCTGAGAAAAGTAACAGATATCATGTGACAACCGTGTCAACAAAACTGGACACAAAAGTATTGAATTAAACTGTTGAAACCGATGGTTTTTAGTGCACATCAAATAGAATACCTAATAGTCTGTCTGTAGGCCAGAGTATACTTAAAACAGATTTTAGGAATAATCATAGAATTATAAATAAATAAATAATAATCGCAATATACTACATTTCAGGTCAGTGCTTCCACTGTGAAATGAAAAGATTGGGTTAAAGTTGGTTTTATATTTGCACATTCTGACTTTTACTTTTGACTATGTCCTTAGAAAAGTATTTATTTATTTTTATTTATTTTGCAAATTCTAAATGGGAGGATCATATTAGCATCCAAATACTATTAAATAAAAACATTGTTCCGTACTGAAAAAACAGCTTTAACCAACCTAGGCTGGTTTTAGAGGGGGTTTTGGCCATTTCCAGGCTGGTTTCCTGGTCTTAGCTGGTCAGGCTGGGAGATGACCAGCTAAAATCAGCTTGACCAGCCTAGCCAGGCTGGGAGCCCAACCAAAACCAGTTATGTCCAGCTTAAACCAGGCTGGTCAAGCTGGTTTTAGCTGGATTTTGCTGGTCATTTTCAGCCTGACCAGCTAAGACCAGGCTGGAAATGGCTGGAAACTCAGTCAATTAAATAGTGCTAATGTTGTTTTGAAGTCATACATGCATACTTTTGGACCAAATAATCAAAGTAGCATGGTAAACAATTTAGGGAGCGTGTCACAAGTTGTCAAATGAGCAAATGTACGAACATATCACCAACTTTACCTCAATAAACACTGAATATCTTGCAGTTTTGAGCAAGTTAGAATTGTGAGATACAAACTGAGAACTGTGAGAAATAAATTCTGAATTCTGAGATTTAAAAAAAGTCCCAAAAGAATCACAAACTCAGAATTCAAAATATAAACTCAAAATTAATATAAGATGTAAGGTCAATAAATTAATTAAACAAAGGCCCAATCCCAATTCTACCCCTTAGCCCTTATATTTACCCCTCTTTTGCGCGTTCACGTGAAGGGGTAGAGGTGTCCCAATTCTCTTTAGCTTAAAGGCATAAGGCTGAATACCCCTCAAAAGGGAGATTTTTCAGGACCACACTCGAAACCAAGGGGTACGAATATTCCCCAGAATACACCAGCCACAACGGCAGTATAAGATGCATCCGGAAGTAAAGAGATCCACAAAATATGCTCACCAGCATTATTACAAATTTTTACAACAAACAAGCACATGTTTTAATACATTTATAACCGCGTTTTTGTTTTACCATCATGCTATTTATATCTATACCATCTATCTAGATGTATACCGTCATTCGCTGTCTATAATTCATAATAATAACTACTGTACAGCAGTCCCACAGCATTCTGTCACTCGATGACACTCAAATTAGTGATGGCTGACATGAAACTGACGTTTCGACACAGTGTCGAGATCACGAAGCACAAGTGTTTCGAAACACTACACCGAAGCATGATCCGAAGTCACGTGACTAAAGTGTTTCGAAACACCTGGGGCCTCATGTATCAACGCTGCGTACACACAAAAACTTTGCGTACGCCAGGTTTCACGCTCAGAATCGCTCACGTTTGGATTTACTAACAATGAACTGAACGTGGGAATGTGCGCAGCTTCACGGCAGCTTTCTGGCAGGCGTACGCACATTTTTTGTGTGTGTCTGTTGTATTTCCATTGGCGACTCCTAAAGGCAGTTGTGTTAAATCCCTCTCTACAAAGTGTCTGAGCCTTGCAATGGCAGCTGTATGAGACGGGTTCATCTAGCAGGTATATAAGGTTTCCATACCATACAGTTGACCAGCCAAACATTAAAGCACAATTTGCAGCAGTCGCCTGTTTTCCCATTATAATCGGAGCGATCTACTGCACACACATTGCTATAAAGACACTATCTGAAGATTTGCATGCGTGAATCAGAAACATTTCCATTCAATAAATGTGCAAATAAAATATGATGCACAAACTTATTAATGATTCCTACTTGTCTTTCTCGTGATAAATAGTTGGCAAAATCTGATATGTAGCGGGGGAAAAAAAGAAGAAAGAATTCATCAGACGCTGGATTCGAGCCGAGTTCATGCTCGAACGTGTCAATACATGATCACATGCGTCTTACGAGCTGCGCCACTGAGACTGTTAAGGGCACTGCAACATTTTACAGATATAAACCACACTATTTCTTTTTTTAATGCACTCAGTGCGATGTTCAGACCCAACTGTGTTAACCGCATCAGCTAAACTCTCTATTTCTATCTTTTTGCTTGATTTTGCCATTGTTTTTTCGTTGGGTTTTTCCATTAGCATAGTCATTTGCATATTCATACAGGGGAGGAGGCTGGGAGGGGTTTTGCGCTCGTGCATGTTGCGCTCAGTTTCACGTTCATTCGGATGTACAAAAGAATATGCGTGAGATTCGGCGTACACAGTGTTTCATACATCTGATTTTTTTTCTGCGTACGCACATTTACAGCTTTGTGCGTACGCAATGTTTTAGTAAGATTTCCACGCAAGTCTTCGTACATGAGGCCCCAGGTCACGTGACTAAAGTGATTCAAAGCACCGATCAGCTTAAAAGCGTTTCGAGACCTGGCAAATCTTCATTTGGCCGCCAAGGTCAAGTAAAATTCTGTTTCATATGGCATAGTGGACTGTGTGTGTGCACTCTGATATTGTGCTTTGGTTGAGGTTTCGGGTTCGAATCCCAACTTGTACAAATACTCTGAAATCATGGTTTCATGTAATTTAATCATGTTTCTTTTTTGTGTAGCCTAAATAGGATACAGCTGCAGTTACGCCATCAGTATAGCATCATTTTTGTAACCCTGTAAAACTATAATTAATAATTTTACAGTACTGTGATAGTTGGGTTTAGGGTTTGGGTAGACATTAATAAAATACAATAAATGGGAAATTGAATGAATAATATAAAATAATTCTTGATAACTTCAGGCCACAGTTTCTGATCTACCAACAACCCTGTTTTAAGACCAAAACAAGACACATTTATTCACAAATTGTTTATTCGGATATCAGACCAATGTTGAAACAAAACTATACAAGAGCAAAGCATTACCAACTGGTATTAAAGCATTTCAAAACAACAGCATCAGCCTAGATTCAAACCCACTATCCCCACATAGTAGTCAAATACCCTAACCACTCCACTATATTACTTAAAGGTTCAAGCATACAACGTGGGGTTTAATACCTCAATTTGCTCAACTGTTCTTTGCTGAAGCTGTTTCAGTGCAATACATAAAAAATGACCACTAGGTGTCACTGTAGATGGGGGTTTCGAAGCTTCGACACATTTGCTTCGACTGTTTCAGTGTTTCACGAAGCCTCGCTTTGCCCACCACTAACTTAAATACCCTGTCAGAAAAGACTAGTGCAGGGGTGGCCAACCCTGTTCCTGGAGAGCCACCTTCCTGCAGATTTCAGTTGCAACCCGTATCAAACACACCTGCCTGTAATTATCACGTGGTGTTCAGGTCCTAATTAATTGGTTCAGGTGTGTTTGATATGGGTAGCAACTGAAATCTGCAGGAAGGTGGCTCTCCAGGAACAGGGTTGGCCACCCCTGGTCTAGTGGCTGGGAATGAGCTTTTTACAGTGTCTGCTATAACGGTAATGTGGTTTTCTTGTGTTTACATTAATAAATGACCAGGGGTCCGTACTTCGTACGTGGATTACTCAGTTAGCTGGATTTGGATATTGACGATTTGACATGATCCAGGATCGTTTCGTTCTTCAAAGCTGATCCGAGAGTTGTTGTCATGGCAACAGTTCTGCTAGGTCAAACCTGATCGGGAGCAGGTTCAATTCATATAAACAGGATTAGATCGGCTCAGTTCAAGCAAAGATAATACAGAAAGTATGTTCTGAATTCTGATATTTTCTTACAGTAGTAGTTATACACTTGGGAAAAGAGTAAATATTTTTTAACTATATATATAAAGTTATAGTCATTAATAAAATAAATAAAGTTATACATATTAATAAAACGTATGCAATCTGCACCCTCGAAATGAAAGTACAAAGACTGCCACCTGGTAGTGCAAAGAGAAAACTTATTAGTATGAACTATTTAGATCGCTTTAGTATAAATTGTGTATAATAGAAATGCACAATATGTGACTTTTTTTTAAAGCAATAATACATTTCAGCAGTCATAAACATGTTTGATAGTTAATATGCCGGTGATTTGATGCTTCACAAAAGTTGCAGACGCCTTTACCAATATAAAAATGCTTTTGTAAACAATCAGTTATTCTTTACACCGATTAAAAAACGGCGACTATAATAAAGAAAATATTTTCTAAATGTAGAACTAAATACATTGATTTGCATTGAAATACATGATGAATACTCTTGTCTTGACAAATGAAAGTGTAAAGCCTGCAGCTGACAACAAATGTGGAAAGTTCTTGTGTGTCATATTTAACAAGCCGTTTACTGCTAATTTGATGTAATTTTGCTCACATGGATAATTGAATATTAATCAGAAGATGTCATTACGCTGCTGTGCCGTCAGCCAATCATTGCATTGCTGATCATGATTTCGAGGCTCGATAGATCTGTCCTTCACAACACACGCAGCGATCTCTGATCAGTTCATCCAGACATTCTTATCTAATTCGCGAACTCGCTTGAAGAACCAAATTAGCGAGAGATCAGTTATCAAGATTAAAAGATCCAGGATCTGCCAAATAATCTTAGATCATTTAAGCGAACTACGAAGAACGGACCCCAGGGTGTAAGTGCACAGTACAGCTATGATCTTATTGCCACATTCTTTGTTAGGACAAAGAATTCCTGATTTCCTGAAGAAAAGTACCAAAAAAATAATGCAGCCATCTAAAATAACTACAGCAGTCGGGATCGTCAATCTCATATGAAGCAAGAGCTCACGATGACATCTGATGACGTGTGCTGGTGCTGTAGTGCTGTCCTATTTTTTAGGGGTAAAATTTGAAACCCTTCTCCTTCACACTCTGTTTCAAGGGCCATGGGGAAGGAGTAGGGGTACAAAAATAGCATCGGGATTGGGCCAAAGTCACGGTTCTCAGAAAAAAATGTGAGGAATAAAATAGCAGCATGTCATGTTGTTAAAGTGTGTTATTTGCATGTAAATTTAAACCTGTTGTTTAGGAATGGCACTATGCGGCAGAGACCCCGTGGTTGTGGAGGTAAGTCATTAAAGATTATTTCGTTAAACTTTGTAAAATGACCTTAAAATGACTGTAAATCTTTTATCTCATTTTGCTGAAGGGCTGATATTGCTATAATTTAATAATATTGAATTACCTGGCGACCTGGCAGTAGGTAGTGCTGTCGCTTCACAGCAAGAAGGTCGCTGGTTCGAACCTTGTCTAAGTCAGATGGCGTTTCTGTGTGGAGTTTGCATGTTCTCCCTGCGTTCGCGCGTGGGACTCCCATCATAGTTATTTTTGACTGGTTCCACCTCCTAAATCATACATTTCACTTCAATTATCTTTTTTTATGTGTTTGCTCTACAAATATATATAAACAATTGCATGAAACATCTATTTTCTGTATTATTTGTAATTTCAGGAGTAAAAACGAATCATTTTATGTCTCTATGTTCTAGTCAACTCTGTTACGTTGGTTATAAAAAAGCAGAACAATCTGAAAATCGCTGATTAAAAAAAAAAAAAAAAAGCATGTGACTTGCTCCAAGTGATGTCACTTCCTCTGGCAGGAAAATCTGGAAGGCATTGATGCCTAGTGTCTTTATTTTTTTCATTATTTTGTGGGAAATGTTTCTGATACACCGATTGTAGATTAATTATAATGTGATGTTTCAGTAAATGTCTCAATAATTTTTTTAAACAATGACATGATGAATGTAAAATTGTGTTTTCGACATCAGTGTGGTGTCTGGTTTGAGCCTAAGCTAAAGCACAAAATAATGGAAAAAGCCAACTCTGTTAGTGGCTTTAAAGGAAATAGTAACACACACAAATGTTCTCTTATCACATTTTGCATGATTTTACATTAATATCGGATTAATCTGAAACTTTTTAAATGCTCCTGCAGTTGTGGAATGAGTCTTGTAGCTTACACCTTGTCAATTTGTCTCTGATAAGACGCTTGAATCTCGTCCATCATGTGTAGGAGAATGTGCCTGCAGAGATGGAGTTTCTGCAACGTTTCTCAGCTGCTCTCAGACACTGGGATGCCCTCATGGAAAGGTTATTTCCAGCGGCGCTCTCACCTGGAGAACAAAATGAAAACGGGCAGGTCAACTGCAGACTACACCTGCAAAAGCCTTCGAGGACACAAAGGCAAGTGATCTTATTACATCTCCAGGAGCTCAGCTGTAATGCCATTACAAACCATATCAAGAGCTGCACTGAGTCTCTGCTGAAGTTGATTTAAAGGAGGAGTACACAACATATCAGCAGCCTTATCGATATTGGCTAATAAAATATATATTTGATATTATTGTTATTAGACTGATAACTAATATATAGAGCAAAATATACAGATAGTTGACTGATATTTACAGATAATTTACTGATATTTTCAGTAAACTTTGTATTTTTTGCACTTTAAACCACTCCATGTGAATGCTTTCCAACACATTTTTTAATTATTTTATTGGTATGTTGACTTTAGTATATATATATGTATATATATATATATATATACACACACACACACATACACACACACACACACACATTTGGCGGGTGTTAATGTAAAGCTCTGTGTATATATATATACCACACACACACATATATATATATATATATATATATATATATATATATATATATATATATATATACATATACACATTTGGCGGGTATTAATGTAAAGCTCTGTGTATATATATACCACACACACACACATATATATATATATATATATATATATATATATATATATATATATATATATATATATATATATACATATACACATACACATTTGGCGGGTGTTAATGTAAAGCTCTGTATATATATACATATACACACACACACACACATATATATATATATATATATATATATATATATATATATATATATATATATATACAGAGCTTTACATTAACACCCGCCAAATGTAGATTTCGGTTGTGGCAGGTTAGACAGCCACTCCCACTAGCTACTTTGGCTAGTGCTGTTAGGTTATGACCGTTTGTCTATATGCGTACAAATGTGATATTAGAATCGAGAAGCAGCACGACTGACAAATACAGCTTTTCTTTTCACGTGAGCAAAAAAAAGCAGGTTAATAACGAATGAGAGGATCACGCGCACGGTGAGACAGGCTATCCTCACTCACTGACGAGGCCTTTAGTGTCGCGCGCACAGATGATTTGATTTGATTTGATATATATATATATATATATATATATATATATATATATACATATGGCAGTAGATTTTATTTATAGGAAAAAGAAAATGGGCCATAGAAAAGAATACTTAATAAATAAAGTTCAGAGATCAGTATTGAAGTAAAAGGTTTAAAATAAAATAAAATCAGTTGTGCACTCTATTGAAAACAGTTATTTCCCTTTTGTTTTTGCAATCATGCAGAGAAATGTTTGATCGGCTAATAGATTGGCCTCCAAATTTAAAAAGATATTGGTGAAAAATTCCTTATCGGTGCATCCCTATTTTACAGCACACATTATTGTGTCTATGTCATACTTGAATTCTACAGGCAGAGTTGTTGGTTTTGCATACCTGGCTGGAAATGATGGTTGCTCAGATGTGTGGACCTGCACACCAGTTGTTTGCAGTGCATCAACAGATGGCACAATCAAAGCATGGGACATTCAGAAGGTATGACAGGTGCTTTCTTTTTCATGAGGTAGATGCATATGCTTGTTAGCATGATGCTTAAAAAAGGGCATATTTCAGTCCAAAACAGAAAGAAAAACATAGTGACAGACTTTAGGCTGTCCTTTAAATTACCTTGATTTTTGTTACTGATTTATTTTTGTTTTATTTTTTATTTTTTGCATGTTCGTCATACTTTAATACTAGTTTTAGATCATCAAACTAATTAAATTATTCATTCATTCATTCTCCTTTGGCTTGGTTCCTTTATTTATCAGTAATCGCAACAGCGGAATGAACAGCCAACTTATCCAGCATATGTTTTACACAGCGGATGCAACTCAGAATTGGGAAATGCCCATACATTCACACAGACACTCATACACTATGGTCAATTTAGTTTATTTAATTCACCTATTTTGCATGTATTTAGACTGTGGGGGAAACTGGTGCACTGGGAGGAAACCCACACGAACACGGGGAGAACATGCAAACTCCACACAGAAACGCCAACTGACCCAGCCGGGACTCGAACCAGTGATGATCTTGCTGTGAGGCAACAGTGCTAACCACTGAGCCACTGTGCAGCCCAAACTAGTGAAATATTCAAAAATAAAACACAATTAAACACATCAGGCAGTTTTGAAGTGAAGGTTTTTGTCATTGAGGGAAAACAAAATGCAAAACTGCATAGTCCTGTGTGAAACGGTGTGTACAAAAATATCCTGAAGGAGGATGTCCATGACCTCAAGTTGAAGTGGATTTGGGTTCTGCAGCAGGACAATGATACAAAGTCCACTTCTGAACAGCTGAAGAAAAACAAAATTAAGCCTTTAGAGTGGCCTAGACAAAGTCCTGACCTGAATCTAATTGAGATGCTGTGAGCTTAAGGTGGTTCATGCTCAAAAACCCTCCAGCGTGGCTGAATTACAACAGTCCTGCAAAGCTGAGTGGGACAAAATGCCACCACAGCGCTTTAACAGTCTCATTGCAAGTTATTGAAAACGCTTGATTGCAGTTGGTGCTGCTAAGGGTGGGCCAGACATGTTATTAGGTTTAGGGGCCTAGGGCGGCAGTATAGAGAGGGCAGTGTCCGCCACACCTCCCTTACCACCTGCGTCCTCAGTTATGTCCGCGGCACCTCCCTCACCACCCGCGTCCTCAGTTATATTCGCGCATAGATGACAGATTAGAAAGGGCGGCGTCAGCGACACCTCCATCAGCACCCGCGCGTCCTCAGTTATATTCGCGCATAGGGCGGCAGAATAGAGAGGACGCCGTCCGCAACACCTCCCTCACCACCCGCGTCCTCAGTTATATCCACGCATAGGGCTGCAGTATAGAGGTCCAAGACACCCGCGCGTCCTCACTCAGTTATATCCCCGCATAGGGTGGCAGAATAGAGAGGACGCCGTCCGCAACACCTCCCTCACCACCCACGTCCTCAGTTATATTTGCGCATAGGTGACAAAATAGAAAGGGCGGCGTCAGCGACACCTCCATCAGCACCTGTGTGTCCTCAGTTATATCCGCGCATAGGGCAGCAGAATAGAGTGGACGGCGTCCGCGACACCTCCATCAGCACCCGCGTCCTCAGTTATATCCGCGCATAGGGCAGCAGAATAGAGGTCCGTGACACCTCACTTCATTTTCATAACCGGTCAATTTCGTTTTCACATTGGGGTTGAGGGCGGCGTGATCGTCCTCTGCCTAGAGCGGCAGTTCAGCTTGCTCCGGCCCTGTTTAGGAGCAAACGCGTTTTTTCACACAGGGCTGTGTAGTTCTGTATATTGTTTTAATAATAGAAAATCTTCATTCAAAAAATTCATCATGCGTTTACTTGTGTTCCCTTTGACTAATATTTACTTTTGTTTGATGATCTGCATCATTAAAGTGTGTAAATTGTGATGACACTGGTGCACATACATTACAGTTAGGCAAACTCCTTTATAGGGCTTCACTGCATTTTCACATTTAGTAGCCCCTTTCACACCGGTAAATACCCGGAAAATAACCGGAACGACTTTAAAAAAGTCCTGCCAGCTTGAGCTCCAACTTGCTTCAACACACCTGCCTGGAAGTTTCTAGTATACCTAGTAAGACCTTGATTAGCTTGTTCAGGTGTGTTTGATTAGGGTTGGAGCTAAACTCTCCAGGACACTGGTCCTCCAGGACCGAGTGTGGACACCCCTAACCTACACTATCATTCTGTTTACATGCAGGGAGTTAATTTATGGACAAGCCCTGTCCAAGACCCCTTGCAGGACATGACAGTGGACACGGTGCAGTCTGTTATCATCACTTCTGACAGCAAAGGAACCATCAAAACCTGGAAGGGTGCAACCGGAGAGGAGCAGGCCTGCTTCAACTCAGGCTTCTCCAGAAGCACTCTGCTGGCGTTCAGCAACAAAGACGACAGCTCTTTCCTCATGGTGGGCCATAAATCATATGTGTGAATGTACAGCGGCTCAGTGTTTATTACAGAGAGCTTTGATTTCAGGTGGGAAGTATTTTGGGGTCTCTGCTGGTGCTGTCGCTGCCTGCTCTGTCTGAAGTCTCTCGGCATGTGGTGTGTGACTCCTTCATGCTAAACCTCCTTCTCTCAGCGCCTGATAAAAAGTGGATATTCGCTGCCTCCAAAGAGAATTTTGACTTGAGCCCAAAGGTAGGCAAGAATTATTGAGACAAATCAGAAATCCATATAAACACAGACGTAAAGCCTGCTGAAAAGTCCAGCTTAAGCCAGCCTAGGATGGTTTATCTGGTTTTAGCTGGTCGACCAGCCTGGTTTTAGATGGGTTTTGGCCACTTGCAGGCTGGTTTCCAGCCATTTCCAGCCTGGTCTTAGCTGGTAAAGCTGGAAAGTGACCAGCTAAAACCAGTTTGACCAGCCTGGTTTTAGCTGGACATAGCTGGTTTTGGCTAGGCTGGTCAAGCTGGTTTTAGCTGGTCATCTCCCAGCCTGTCCAGCTAAAACCAGGTTGGAAATGGCTGGAAACCAGCCTGGAAGTGGCCAAAACCCCTCTAAAACCAGGATGGTTGACCAGCTAAAACCAGCCAACCATCCTAGTCTGGTATAAGCTGGATTTTTCAGCAGGGAACATAAACCTTTTGGTAACCCTTTGCTGAATCCTCAAATGAGTGTAGTTTCTGTTGATATGTAAAAATATGGGTGGGGGAAATATCGATAAAGCATAATATTGCAATATTTTCTACTGCAATATTTGGTCGCCCATATCGATATATCACCAATATTTCAATAAATCAACTGCTTTACCGTCTACTAGATGGTGGTGTTGAACTTGATTTTTTATATGAAGTGTTATGATGATGTGTGTGTGTGTGTTTGTGCAGGTTTTCTATAGTGACAGTGTGTGTAACCCTGATGAGGACAGTGTGTGTTGTAGTCTGCCAGTCACCGGCTGCTGTGCTGCAGTGTTTCTCCCGTCTCAAGCTGCTCGGCTTGCGGTCATTCACTCTGACGGCCTCTTCAGAAACAAAACACTCTCCGTCTTTGATTTGACCATGAAGGAGTCCAAATACAAAAGGGAACCTCACGGTGGGTTTTTGAAATATACCGATCGTCATGTTGTAGGTTTACTTAAAGGGGTACCACAAGGCTCAGTTCTCAGCCCCTTACGTTTTACATTATATTTGCTACTGCTTGCCGATTAATGGAGTTAGTTTCCACTGTTGATACACAACTCTATATCTCCTCTCAACCTGATAATTTTGTACAAATTCACAAAACTAACAGATTGTATAGCTGATATTTAAAATTGAATGGCTAAAAAGTCAGTGGGGAAAATAAGTATTGATCACGTCAGGTTTTTTTTTTCTGGGAATAATATTTCTGGTCACACTTTACAATAAGGTTCATTAGTTAATGTTAATTAATGCATTTACTAACATGAACAAACAATGAACAATACATCTACTACTGTATTTGTTCATGTTAGTTAACGTTAGTTAATGAAAATACTGTAGTTCATTGTTAGTTCATGTTAACTCATGGTGCATTACCTAATGTTAACAAGCATGGACTTGAACGTTAATAATGCATTAGTAAATGTTCAAACAGAAAACGTCCGCAGATTCCGTCTGGCCCTGGTTATGTGTAATAATGAAATGACACAAGGAGAAAGTACTGAACTACTGAACTGTATTTAATACTTTATATAAAGGCTTTTTTGGTGATGGCAGCTTAAAGATGCCTCTCATATGGATAATGAAGTCACATGCACTGTTGAAGTCTAGTAAAAACACACCTAAACAGTGTTAAAATTGAGATGGTTTTGTGGGTCTCGTCTGTCAAATCTGATCTTTATTTTGGATTCAAGTCAGCTGATTTACACTGAGGAACAACAGAGGGTTGCTGAAGAACTACTGAGAGATTTCAGCTGCTGTCTGGGCGTTCACTGCCTTTCTACACCTTCCTTTCTTCATGTGTTTATCACTTTTTACCAGCATCATTTCATGGTATTGCCCATAACTTTTGTAAAGTAGTTAGATTTGTTTTGATATATCACATATGTTTTCATCTTTTCATATATGGATTTCTTTGGTTGTTTTCAACATCTGGTGAACATTTCAAGTCATCAGCACCTTTAGAAATATGTTTTCTGAGAAAAGCGGTGACATGTTCAATACTTATTTTCCCAGCTGTATTACTAAATTCAGTTAAAAGTGAGGTCTTGCTTATTGGACTGAAAAACCTCTTGTGCAAAAATCTAGAATACTGTTCATTAGGGGTGTCACGATTTCAATTTGTAATCGAAATCGAACGAAGTTTATGCTCAATTTCGATTATCGAATCAAAAAATAGAATCGTCAATGCTGCCACGCCCCCATGTCACGTCAGCTTGGCTTGCCAAGCGGGAAAGAAACAGGCTTGTTGAAGTGCTTGTTAAACTGCAGAAGCAGGAGACCCGTCGACAGAAACCCTCTCCTCTTTCAATGAAGTCGCCGGTGTGTAAGCATTTTGGATTTCCAGTGAGTTATGTTGACAACGTTCGTGTTGTCGACAAAAAACACAGTTTTGCAAGCTCTGCTATGTACGTATTACGTACGGTTCGTCCGATAGACAACACCGGCATCGCGATCCTCCGCCCGCCCCTGTTGCAAATCCGCTCACGAAAAGTACACACTCAGGCCCTGTTTACACTGTCTTTGTTTTTAAATGGCATTTTAGAACGACAACGATTTGACATCCACAGTGGCGTGTAGCATTTCTGAGCAGCCCTCCTTTCTCTCTACCTCTGAAAATGCACATCACGTGACCACACAGACACAGACGCACTCACAGCCTTACGCTCGAGACAGCAGGTCCAGGCAGTCAGAGGACTGCTTCAATCTTTCACTCACTTGTACTCAGTCATTTTAGCGAACACCTCAGATACTGTTGGCTGGTTCCTGTTGGTTGTGCGGCTTTTTTACAGACGCCATTATAACGACACAGATCACTGCCTATTCACGAGTCTCGCAGAAAAAGTGACTGACAGGTGGTGATTATGTGTGTATCTTGCCTTTATTCATTTACTGTATGATTTGTTTATGGGTAAAACAAAGACCATGCAGGTCAGGTAGTTTAAACGGTAGGCTACAAATAATTAATTGGTCACTAATTAATTAATTATTCATAGTCGAAAATCGAATCGACTTTTAGAATCGAAAATGTAATCGAATCGAGGATTTGGAGGATCGTGACACCCTTACTGTTCATGAAGTTTCAGTTCAGACCTCATCTTCAGTCAAAAATTTTGGGGTGATTTTTTATTTTATTTATTTTTTATAACAACCTATCATTTAAAGGCCACATTTCTAGCATCTGTAAAACAGCATTTTTTTCATCTTAAAAATGTTGCCAAACTTTAACATATGTGCTTAGTTACAATTTGCGTTGTAATTGTAAAGTGCTCTAGAAATAAAGATGAATTGAATTGACAGTTCACCCAAAACTGTTAATTCTGCCATTAATCACTCACCCTCCACTAGTTTCAATCCTGTATGAGTTTTTTTTTTTGAACATAGAATATATGAATCACTAAAAAAAAAAAAAATTGCGACGCAGTGGCGCAGTAGGTAGCGCTGTCGCCTCACAGCAAGAAGGTCGCTGGGTCAATCCTCGGCTAAGTTGCCGTTTCTGTGTGGAGTTTGCATGTTCTCCCTGCATTCGCGTGGGTTTCCTCCGGGTGCTCCGGTTTCCCCCACAGTCCAAACACATGCGGTACAGGTGAATTGGGTAGGCTAAATTGTCCGTAGTGTATTAGAACGTGTGTGTGGATGTTTCCCAGAGATGGGTTGCGGCTGGAAGGGCATCCGCTGCGTAAAAATGTGCTGGATAAATTGGCGGTTCATTCCGCTGTGGCGACCCCGGATTAATAAAGGGACTAAGCCGACAAGAAAATGAATGAATGAACAATATATTTTGAAGAAAGCTGGAAAAGCAGCCATCGACTAGCATTTGTACTATGAATGTCAATTGCCGTTTTTTTCCTATCATTCTTCTTTAGAATATCTTCTTGTTTTGTAGTAGAGTAAATGGTGAGGAAATTCAAATCATTGTTTGAACTGTCCCTTTAATGTTTCTTATTTATTGTTTACAATCATCACTTGCCTGGAGTGTGCATTGTTTTCTGATAATGTCATGCTTTCCCATTTCAGCTCAGCAAGTTGCATCTTTTCAGGTTGATCTGAGCCATCGTTCAGACGTCATTCTGCAGGCCAGAGGGAGCAGCACTGTTCTGCTCGCAGACGGAAACCATCTGAAGGTCTACACCATTAAAGGGGAACTCGTAGCTAGTTTTGAAGATCATTTACAGCCAATCACTGCTCTTTGTGTGGTGAGACATTTTACCATTCTCTTTTACTAAATTTTCTCCTGCAAACAGATACTGTGAAAAATTTGGGACAGCCTATAAAGTTATCCAAAAAAAAAATTGCCAAAATAAAACCTCAGATGAACAAAATATATACCTTAAGCTGAGCCAGAGGATTTAAAAAGTCCTCATAAAAAATAACTGAAGTGGACGTACAGGATCTGAGTAATACGTTTGTCACCCACAGCTTTCCTCTCGTCTTTATTTTTGTTCAATAAACAAATGACACAGTGTGAGATGTCATGTGATGTTGTTCAAATTAAGTTTTATCTTACAAACTTTAAGACCTGCCAAGGACCGTATAGTTGTGTTATTATTTGTCCTGATACAGAAAACCACAACATTTTCACATCAGTGTATAAAAGTGTTGTTTTTTGCAGGACAGTTTTAGGGTGGTGACAGCGTCTCGAGACCTGTCTCTCAGAGTACTGACCTGGAGAACTGACCCCGAACACGGCCTTAGCCTGGAGAGCCAGTATCACCTGCTCGGAGGATCCCACACCAGATCCAGGTACAGCATCATCCTTCATATTTGAAAGGCACCTTCACATAAACAATGTGTGCGTCTCAATCACCTACCTTGTTCAGTAGTCAAGTGCACTTGAATGTGGGCTTCCTGAAAAGTCCCACAATGCACCGTGAAAATCAGGGAGCGTCGATGTGCATACAAACAATGTTCACACCCATCTCCTGCAACCCTCCCGTTTTGTTATTTCTCCTCGAAAACTCCTGTAATTTCACTCCCCACCTCTGGTCCTCATCTTTTTGGTACAATCACCCCCACCCCTCAAAACCCCTCCCCCCACGTCATAGTTATCAACTTTGGTATAGTATCTGATCGTCACCGCCGACCGAAACTCAGACCATGGTACTCATGTTTGCTACTCAGATGATTGCAAAACTTCACTCCCCAAACTTCCCCTCCATCTTGGGAATTTCAGAGACAAATGTTGGTAGCTATGTCAAGCGCACTATCTGCTCTTAACCGAAGGAGCGCAAAACATGAATCACAAAAACCAAATCATCAAACATAATGACAAACTAGAGACTTAAAAAAAGAAACGTATTTATTTATATTTAAAGTCCGCATGAACTGGAAGAAGCTGCTGAGACTTTTATTTCAGAATGTTGATGTACTTTCAACTGAAACTGAATATTGAGTAGGAGGCGGGGCTTTCATTTGCGCATATTTCCCTCATAGCAAACTTAACGTAGAGCCATATGAGAGAGACTTGCATTAACCGAATTCCAAAATGTTTGATCGTCACTTGATTCATGTAAACTCAAATAGTTCCAAAAGTGACTCATGGTTAATTTGAATGTTAGATAACAATAAAATATACACAATATTATTCTTTTAAACTTTGTACTTTACAAAAGTGCAAAACCTCAGCAACTTGGCTTTAAGTGCTAACTTCCGTGAAGTAGTGAGAGGCTTCATGAGCTGCCATTTTTGTAATAAGAAAAAGTTACCATGGAGTGGTCGCAATTCTCTCTCTATGGCTCTAGCGTAAAGGAAAGAGAGGGTTTTGATATGCAGTTGCTATGGAAACCCTCAGGTTGATGTCAACATTAGGACCAACACTCCGAATGCGGGAAGCAAATACAGGGCTGTGTCCGAAACGGCCTACTACTCAGTAGGCAGTGCATTTGGATTTAAATGTGCTACTCCACCATTAGAAAATTGACCATTAGAAACTCATTGCTGCCCTTACCAGTGCCCGAATTCAAGTACAGGGCATATGACCTCCGGAGCTAGGCAGCTGATTGAGACGCACCCTATGTATTAACAGGTATTTATTTAACAAGACTTTTTTTTTTTAATAAACAATTTTGCAGAGGATTCACCAACGTTGCCTGTGATTATTCGAGTATTGTGGCGTCTGTGGAGTCGTTGGATGGGAAGGACGTCCTGAAGGCTTATACCTTTGATTTCTGACCTCAAAACCAACAAATGTATTTACATCTCTTTATAACTCACTGACCAGTTTCATCTACAACATGATCGTGCCTACAGTTTTCCTGCATTAATTAGACAATTTGGTCCCACTTTATATTAAGTGGCCTTAACTAATATGTACTTACATAGGAAGTAATAGTTTGCTACAATGTACTTGTGCTTGATTAAATACCCGTATGTAATTACATCTGTAATTAACTTTTGTAATTAAATTGTAAATACACTGTTGACCATCCCTTATACCTTAACCCACCCTTAAACCTACCCATGCCACCAAACCTGTTCATAACCCAACCTCTATCCCAACTCAAAAGCACCACAAGTGTTCACAAATACATTATAAACACAGTAAGTACACTGTATTTATTTTTTTGATGCAAGTACATAGTAGTTAAGGACACTTAATATAAAGTGGGACCGACAATTTAAACACTTAAAAAAAAATCGTAACCAATCTTAACCCTTTAACGGTCACTAGGAAAACCAATTTATTTGACCAGTTTATTTGGTAAAACTGTGTTTTTTTCCCAACTGTGATGTTTTAAAGTGTTAGTTCACACAAAAAAACTCACATTCTGTCATTAATTACTCTCCTTCATGTCCTTTCAATCCTCAAAGATGTTTCGAAGAGCTCCTCCATTGACAGCAATAGTCCCAAGATGAACAAAGTCCGGAAAAGGAACCCAAAACATGGCCAAATGTGTCACCAGTAGCTCGGTTGTAATCGTTTAAAACTACAAAAACACGTGTGCACCAAAAAAACAGTAACACTAATATCTTCCTTTCTGCTGCCTCACCTCCAGTGTTACACAATATGTTGTGTTGCCCATAGTGAACACACATCCTGATCTGAAGTGGAAGATACTGGCGGATAAAATATTTTTTAGTTCTCCAAGCTCCAAGAACATTCCGTGCACCATAAAATCTATAACAATGACTGGTTCTTCTTGTTCGCCAATGTCTTCTCACTGCCTCAGGTCAGGGTGCGGGTTGTTGGTAGAAGGGATATACTGTTTAATAATTTACACATTACATTTTGTTTTATTTACGTCTTCCCCCACACACACACACACTCAACCCTAAGCCTGAGGCAGCGGAATATTGGCAAACAAAGTGATTGTTACAGGGGGTTTTTTTTGGCACACACTAGTGTTCTTGGAGCTTTGATGATTACAGTTGAACCACTGAAGACGCATGTACTGTTTTGATGTTTTTTTGTCATCTGTGGAGGATGAGGGAGCTCTCAGATTTCATCTGAAATATCTATAATGTGTGTTAAGAGGTAAATGAAGGTCTTATAACAAAATCAGGGGAGTAAATGATAGCAGAATGTCCTTTTTGAGTGAACTAACTCTTTACTGAATAGCCGTGAACTGAGGTGCGTTTCTGAAAACCCTCGTTGGATTTGTTGATTTGTTGTTTCCCAAATGCGTCATTCCAACGAATAATCGCAAATTGTGTCGCAAACTTCTATGCTTGCAACTACACCTCTGGAGCTGTTAGAATCACTTTGATTCGTCGGCGCCAGTGGTGTAATGGTTAGTGCGTCGACACATGCACTCTGGTGCTCGCAGCGACCCGGGTTCGATTCCGCCTCACGGTCCTATGCCGTTCCTTCCCTACTCTCTGCTCCCATGCTTTCCTGTCAATTCTCTCTACGGTCCTATCAAAAATAAAGGTGAAAACCCCGAAAAAAAGATTAGGCTTTAAGCGCTCCACTATCATCCCAATCCCAAAGAAGCCAAAGATCAGAGGGCTCAATCACGACAGACCTATTGCTTTAACATCTGTGGCCATGAAGTCATTCGAAAGACTGGTATGCTAGCATATCTGAAGGACATTACTGGACCCCTTCTGGAAACCCTGCAGTATGCCTATAGAGCAAACCGGTCTGTGGATGATGCAGTCAACATGGGACTGCATTATACCCTACAACATCTGGACATCCAGGGAACTACGCAAGGATTCTGTTTGTGGACTTCAGTTTAGCTTTTGTAAAGAAGTTGTTACTCCATCCTGTTTAGAGCGTCATTATGGGGGTTTTACGTTATAACTAACATGGTTAAAGCGATGGATCTACAACAGAGAAACTACTGTTCTGGAAAACACTCGTCACTACATCGTTCTTTTCCTAAACAATGCATCATTCTATGATAGTATTCAGCCGCGAGTCACGTTATTGTTTAGGAAACGCACCCCTGTACGGTTATAACGTCTGTTAGCCTACAACTCTTGTATGCCTCTGCAAAATGAAGACGCTTTTCATTTCTAGTAGTGTATCTAATTATTTTATTACAAATAACTGTACAAAGATGGTACAAAAAAATGAGGTTTCAGTTGCAATGCTTTTCAAGAATTAGCACCATGGCACATAATACATTAACGGTGTGATTTCTGCCTTCAAAACAATCAACTTTTGACCCCAACAAAGCCTTGTAATTCAGTCTACATTAAGTTGTGCATAACATTTATCTGAATCAAGACCTGAGATATTTAATGTCCCTTTTCAATCAGCTGAGAAAGCAGATGTGTGTGGTGCGTTTTTACTACTGTTAATATAGTTTGTGATTAACCTGCTACACCTCAACCTCATTCATAGCGATCAACCTCAGATGATCCAGAACCAGCTTCAAGACCTTCTTCATGACTTCATGAACGCTCTTCCCATCATCTGCGTTTTTCACCTGAAGAGAACACCAAAGTGACAGACTTTTAGTGTTTGGACAAAACAGCACAGAAAGCAGAGGTAGCAGACCTATGCATACAGGCTTTGCTTATTTGATGGCCGTAGTTTCAGGTGCTGCACATCTTGTATCTTCACAACATAGACAATTGACTTCAGATGATCCCAAAGATAAAAGTCTAAGACGGTCAGACAATCTTTGTTGTCTATGGTGTGAAGATACAAGATGTTCAGCACCTGAAACTACGGATACTGGAGGCCTGTTCTGGCATAAGTGGTCAGAAACTTGTAAATAACTCCTGAAAGAATAAAGTTATGTTAAAATCAAGCACACCATTGTTTTTCTTGTGAAATTCCCAACAGGTTTAATGTGTCACATGACCCACTTCCTATTGAAAAAAACAAAAGTTGAATCCAAGATGGCCGACTTCAAAATGGCCACCACCCATCTTGAAAAGTTTGCCCCCTCACAAATACTAATGTGCCACAAACAGGAGGTTAATATCACCAACCATTCTCATTTTATTAAGGTGTATCCATATAAATGGCCCACCCTGTGTATTGCGATCACGATTTTTGAAAGTATTATAAACGTTTATTATTACCATTTAATGAGTCTCCCCATACAGTTTGATATAGCGTTTGGACCCGGAAGCCACATCGCGTGACGTCACACTTAACAAGTGGATATGCAGAATTCAGAAACCCTTGTTGTTAGCGACACCAGTGGATGTTAGGTGAACTACAGCCAGTAACGATTCAACGACGTGATAAATGAATAGAAAGGTTTTTTGTTCTTCGATTAGGAGTAAAAAAAACTTTATATATACTGACAATAAACATTCAGATGCAGAGAGCAGCATTTAAATGACAGCACAGCATTTACATTCACTTATTGTAATGCGCATTTTGGAATTTTGCATATAAAATTAGCATTTATTTTGAAAATGCCTATAAAAATGTATGCAAATTGGATAAGCTTTTGATCCGATGAGTAAATATTTCCACTATACTACAGAAACATGTTTACTGAATAAATTTCAGTATGTGCATCAATAAAGACGTAATTTTGTTTTAACAGATCATGTGATGATTAAAAAATTTGCATTAATGTACACACCAGTGGAGCGAGCACATTGTAAATCATCTGAAATGTGGTTTTGGTCTTTTCTAAAATCCCTCAGCCAAGGCTGTTACCACAGTGGTTCAGTATTATTATTATAACTACCTCCAGAACTGTCTGCGCTCCCAAAGAGCGTCTCACACCTCCGAAAGCCCCTGTGCAGTCATCACATTTTGGCTTCTGAGGCACAAGTCATATATTACCACATTTGTTAATTGAAACGATGGAACAGCTAAATATAAACCCATGCATATGTAAATGGTATTTCTCATTTTTAACAAACAGAACTCAGGTTGTAAAGGTTAAAAATATCCGTTCAGATGAAAAGAACAGTAGCACTGGGGTTCCACAAGGCTGTGTCAGCTCACCTATTCTTTTTACACTTTTTACAAATGAATGATCAAGTAAGCATTCACAGAATTTTACTCCTAAATATTCAGATGACACCACCATACTGAGTTTACTTCATGAGAATGATGATATTGGTGTTATCTTCCAGTCAGAAATTAGTTCGTTGAGTGGTGTGATAGAAATAAGCTAAAAATAAATACTAAGAAAACAGAAGAGATGCTATTTCACCCGAAATGTATAGGTGACCATCGTCAAGTGGTTGTACATGACCATCCTATTACTCAGTGAGAAACCTGTAAGTACTTGGGCATTTACATCAACAATTCTTTCACATGGAAAACACACATTAAGTGGGTTTGTTCTCGTTTACACCAGAGATTGTATTTTTTACGGAGGTTGCGTCTTTTTAGAGTAAACAAGAAGCTCATGATGTTGTTTTATAAAGCAGTTCTGGAAAGCATTGATAGATATGGTATCACAGTGTGGTTTGGCAAGCTATCTGTTCAGTGTAAATCAGCATGGAAAATTGTCGGCCACGATGAATATTTTAATCTTCAAGTTTTATATGAGTACTGTGTCCTCAATCAGGTGGAAAGGATTGTAAACGATCCAACTCATTTTTTGTTTCTACATTACCAACTGCTTGTAGAAGATTTAGAGTCCTAAAGTGTAGGTTAAACCGCTATAAGAAATCCTGTTTGTACCTGCTTCAGTGGGTTTATTTAGAAAGCGTCTATCTTAATTAGCATTATTAATTTTGTAACTGTTGCATTTTGTATTGCTTTTTATTGCTTGTTTAAGGGTGCTTTCACACCTACACTTTGTCTCGTTTGCCCAGTTAGCGCGGTTCGTTTGGCATATGTGAAACCACCACGCCATTTGGCTTGGATCCGTGCCTAATCAGTCGCTCCTAGATCGCTTGAATGAGGTGGTCTTGGCTTGATTGAAACGAACTCGTAAGCGGATCGATTGTAGTGAGAAAGCAATACAATCCGAGCGCGGTTATATCACAGTGTTTTATGGATATGTAATAGGCTTACGGCTATATGAAGAGAGAATTATGAGTAGGGCGGGAAGTTTCAGGAGTCTCCAGATGCCCACAAACGAGTGATAATCTCCCAGAAATCTCGCGTCTCCCTCCCGGTCCTCAAATAGTCTACGTCACGCACCCTTCTCAGCCCTCCCCACCGCATCTCTCCTCACTCTTCAGACACGTCGCGCGCACCTTGTCAAACACCACCCAACCACCTCCTCTCCTGACAGCTGAGCAGGACTCTGCAAAATAAACCCTGACACTCTGACCAATGTGAGGAGAGTTTACTCACACGTGACTTGTTTTAGCTCTTTTGGTCTGATAAGAAACTTTGCAGTGTGAAAGTGAACCGCTCCAAGAGCAAAGAGCAACAATGTAACAATTTGTAATCCCTGTTTCGGAACAACTGAATCGATTCACAGGTGTGAAAGCAGCCTTAGTGAATGTCTGCAGCAATATGGCGATGCCCATAACAAATTTCCTGTCAAGGACAATAAAGTTTTACTACTACTACTATTATAGAAAAAAAAAAAGTCCACAGTGGCTTTTCCTACTGCAGCAAATTCCATTTTTATATTTGATATTTGGCGCCAGTTTAGCAGGAAGTGACGATTATGTTCTCTTTGACTCTTAGACACAAGTCTAGTTCACATCTTTGGATGAAAACATCACTCTTGAAACAAACCCATGCTAAAGATTTTTTTTTTTTTTTACAAATCAAACTTTTTTTTTTGTAAGCCATAAAAAGGTGTTAATACAGGGAAATTCTTACAAACAGTTCCTTTGAGCATATGATAGAATAGCATACAGTACCTTTGTGAAAGCCTTTGTAGCTCGCTCCAGAAATGCGCTCTCAATCTCCTCAGGAACTGTGAACAAATGAGCGAAACAGTCCAGAATGCATATCACCGTTTCCCTCGAAGCCTGAATAAAAAGGGGTTAAAATGATCAGAGGTAATGTTGACTTAAGGATCGTGTACTTTGTATATTTCTTTATAGGAGTTTTTAAGGTCCCTTTTAGCATTAGAAAATATAAACCTTTACTTTGACATTAATGAAATGTACCGCACTGATGTAAGAAAACCTAGACATTCACTGAGTTTGTGAGGTTGTTTCTTCATGCAAAATAGATTTGAAAATGGATATGAAATCTTGCTGCTTTATTTTAGAGATTTAGTGACGGGGGGTCATTTCTGTTAGTGTCATTTCGGGTCATTTCTGACTCTAAGACCACACAAGGGTTAAATCCTACCCTGTCCAGGCTGCTGAGGATGGTTTGGGGGTCCTGATGGGACTCTGTAAGCGTGTGGACATCATCAGCTGAGATGATTGGTTCTCTGAGCTGCTCCAGCCACGACCACAGGATTCCAGTCAGAATAAAGGGGTCTTTTTCCAAACACAGTCGCTCCCACGCACCCTGCCGATTAAGATCCGCCTGCGTAAAAAGTGAAGATTATGCCATTGTAATTCCTATGTCATATTTCCTAAAATTATCCATGGAATCAGTGGAATGAACCGCCAACTAGTCTGGCATATGCAGGGCCGGTGCAAGCTGAACTGCCGCTCTAGGCAAAGGACGATCATGTCGCCCTCAAATTGTAGAGCGGGGGTGGGGTGCTGGGTCGCGGACATAACTGAGGGCGCGGGTGTTGAGGGACGCCGTCCTCTCTATTCTGCCGCCCTAGGCGCAGATATAACTGTGGCTGCGGGGGCTGAGTGAGGTGTCGCGGACATAACTGAGGACGCGGGTGTTGAGGGAGGTGTCGCGGACATAACTGAGGGCGCGGGTGTTGAGGGAGGTGTTGCGGACGTCGTCCTCTCTATTCTGCCGCCCTAGGCGCAGATATAACTGAGGCTGCGGGGGCTGAGTGAGGTGTCGCGGACATAACTGAGGACGCGGGTGTTGAGGGAGGTGTCGCAGATGTTGTCCTCTCGTATTCTGCCGCCCTAGGTGGTCGCCTAGGTCGCCTCTATGGACGTGCCAGCCCTGGGCATATGTTTTACGCAGTGGATGCCCTTCCAGCCACAACCTAGCACACAAATGCTTATACATTAAGCATTACAGAAACAAATATGATAATCCTAACTTACCTAAAAGAGGAAAAAAAAGTCACATTAACGTCAGACTTTTTTTAAGTAGTTATGTGCCTTTTTATACAGTGTATGTAAACTTCTTGTTTCAACTGTATACCGCATGTCTTTGGGGAAACCGGAATGAAACCCATGAAGATGGAGAACATGCAAACTTCACACAGAAATGCCTCCTGGCCCAGCTGAGACTCAAACCAATGACCTTCTTGCTGTGAGACAACACTGAGCCACCATGCCACAGGGGATAATGTATTGGGTAATTTAATAAACAATATAAATAATTTTCATTAACTTCCAACCTCAACTATATGCCTTCTAGCAACACCCACTATCGTAATGTACCTGTGCAGACTTTATAATTTAACCATTAAATGTGCTCATACCTGCCAAGCAGCCACTTTTTGAGTTTGTTGCTTCTCTCCATCCTTCTCTAGGTCCACTGCAAGAGACTGAGCCACAAGCAGGCGGCGGGACTCCAGAGACAGCTCTGACTGGACAGTGATGAAGGGCACCTCTGAATGCTCTTTCTCAGTAATTACAGTCTCTTCTTGGTCGGTACTCTTTTTCCTGTCCTTCTTCCAGAAGGACAATATTCTGGCAATGCTGTTGGTGTTCTGCTCATCTGAAACGCCCAAAGACCTGCTCCGCTGCAGGAAAGACTGCCTCCTGTTTTTGAGCAGCGGAGATCCCTCTGTCTGGTCCATCAGAGTCTTCAGCTCCCATAAATTGCTGCTGGAGCTGTAGATGGGATTGCCTTTACAGGCTCCTAGCGGAGGAGCCGGACTGTTCTGGGACACACAGCTAAAGGCCCCCAGCTGATTGCTCATAGAGGACAACTGCATGCTGGCCAACACACACAGAGGGTTATCTGGGAGGTTCAGAGATTCTGCTAACCTCCGCAGGTCGGAATCGCTGTAGCTAAGGCTCTTACGGACGTAGTAAAGCGGCTGCGAGTTGTCTCTGTTGGTTTTGGGTAGACCTGGAAGACGTGGCTTGATCATAGCCATCCCGTTTGCCAGCATCTCTCTGTTAAAGCTATGTATTGAATTTTCATTAAATGTTTTCTCCACCACCGGCGTGATGTCAGGAACCTCGACGATGTCCTCCTCAATAACCTGACGGTTCTCCGCGATGTCCAGGAGGAGCCTGGAGATAAGCGGGACCAGCTTTGGCATGTATCTCAACTGTCGAGCCTCCAGGCCGTGCAGGATGTGTTTCTGACGGATCAGGAACTGGGAAAGAGTAACAGCTGGAGCTCTGGGCTCAGCGTTGGCAAACAGGTTTCTTAGCGGGACTAGGAACTGAGCAAACTGTCTGACGCACTGGAGCTGTCCTCGAGTCTGGATGGAGTTTGGTCGCTTGTTTCGAATTAACAGAATGGCTTGATCTGCTGTCATCTGTGTGGTGAAGAGCAAGTAACAGGCCAGAAGCACACCTACGATTAAAAAAGTGGATTTATGAACACACAAACAGCAAGAAAATGTAGTCCAGAGTACATTCCTACTGAATAAAACAGCTTAAACCAGCCTAGGCTGGTTGGCTGGTTTTAGCTGGTCAACCAGGCTGGTTCTAGAGGGGTTTTGGCCATTTCCAGCCTGGTCTTAGCTGGTCAGGTTGGGAGATGACCAGCTAAAACCAGCTCGACCAGCCTGGCCAGGCTGGAAGCCCAGCCAAAACCAGCTATGTCCAGCTTAAACCAGGCTGGCCAAGCTGGTTTTAGCTGGTAATAGCCAAAACCCCTCTAAAACCAGCCTGGTTGACCAGATAAAACCAGCCAACTAGCCTAGGCTGGTTTAAGCTGGATTTTTCAGCAGTGATATTACTCATTTCTCAAATAGTTATCCCTGGGCACATTTCCAATGAGCCTGGGTATACAGTGCATGTTATAACAATGAAAGAGGATCAAGTGTCTACTATTGGAGTTGATCTGAATCTAAATAAATAAATTGTATATAATTTCCAATATTCAATGCATAAGGTAGTCTAATCATAAATCATGCTCAATTAATCTGTATCTTTTAATACAACTTTTTGTTTTTTAACAGTCAGTAATTTAAGCTTTTAACAGGACCACAACAATCCCTGAGGTCTTTCAAAACGGTTTTGTGTAACGGTATGTTCCCTTAGTACATGCTGTTATCCAGAGATTTACGGCCGCATTATTGAGACAATCCCTCTCAAGTCACCTGAGGTGAAAGGTCTTGGTTGAGGACACTATAATGATAATTTAGGCCCAATCCCAATTCTATTTTTGTACCTCTACCCCTTCACCTTGGCCCTTGAAGCCGAGTGTGAAGGGGAAGGGCTTCAAAATTTACCCATAAAGAATTGGGACAGCACCAGCACACGCCATCATGCTTCATCGAGATCACTTGCTTCATATGAGACCAGACGATCGCAACTCCTGTAGTTATTCCAGTCGTGTCTTGTTTTGGTATTTATCTTCAGGAAGTCAGTAAAGTTATATATTATTTTATCATGACAATCTAATGTGGCAATAAGATTGTAACTATATTGCGCATTTACACAGTGGCCATATTCATCAATGTAAACACAAGACAACAACATTGTCATTATAGCAGACACTGTAAAAAGCTCATTTCCAGCCATTAGACCAGGGGTGGCCAACCCTGTTCCTGGAGAGCCACTTTCCTGCAGATTTCAGTTGCTACCCATATCAAACACACCTGAACCAATTAATTAGGACCTGAACACCACGTGATAATTACAGGCAGGTGTGTTTGATACGGGTTGCAACTGAAATCTGCAGAAAGGTGGCTCTCCAGGAACAGGGTTGGCCACCCCTGCACTAGACTTTTCTGACAGGGTATTTGAGTGTCATCTAGTGTCAGAATGTTGTGGGACTGCTGTACAGGATTTATTATTAGGGATTATAGATAGCGGTTATGAATATATTAGAACGTGTTTGTCGTAAAAATTCATAATAATGACAAAAAAGTAAACATTTTTGGGATTTCTTTACTTTCGGGTGCAGCTATGCTGCCGTTGTGGCTAATGTACTCTGGGAAACTTTCTTACCTCTTGGTTTTTAATGTGGTTCTGAAAAATCTCTGTTTAAAGGAGTATTTAGCCCTTCCCCTTAAGCTGTATTTATACTTTCGCCTGGCACCACATTGCGCACCTCTGCTGACAGTGTGTGCACCTTGCGATACTCGCCGCGTTTGCTGTTGTTATATTCTTTAAAAAGACAGGGGGCGGTCAAAAGAAACTGACCGTAAAGTCAGATGGATAAACAAAGAAGTAGAAAGTTTCCGGAACTACATCATATCAATAATATCATTCAAGATTTTTTAACTAATTATTTTTATTACTTTTATAATTTATTATAATGATTATAAGGATTTTTATAACCATTTAAGATTTTTTTTAATTGAACTTTGATGCATCACTTGCTTTTGTTTATATTTCAGACAGTTCTACCAATTATATTTCATTAAAGTAATAATGACAACAGAACATGAACTTATTATGGCAAGAATAAAAGCAACAAAAAAGTACAATTATTAAATAATAAAGATTACTGTCTGGCCAGTTTCTGTCCTATATCTATGTTAAAAAGGCAATAATGGTCCAGCATTCCTGACCATTATTGCCAATAAAGCCTAGATAAACAGGCCATCAGTATATTTGAAAACAGTTAGGTTCAAATATTCCTTTCCAGTTATCAAAGAAATAATTTGTTCCTTAATTAAAGTTTTGATATTTAAATTGTTTCAAATTCATAATTGTAATACATACATCAGTGTAAAACCTGTGACTGGTGGAAAAACATATTCTGTAATCGTGTACCTGGGTCTACTCTTTTGCATTGGCCCCTTTGGCTTTAACAAACTCATCCCTCAGGTTTTTTCAAACTTTTTAACAAAAACTTTTCTCCTTTCCCACTGCAGTTGCAATTTTTAGCTAAGAATTATTGGTCATCTGGTTATCTCGATGATAACAGATCATAAAGATGTCTGTACAGGCTTACCCGTACAGGCGCAAAACAAATGGTTGGGGTAAGGGGTGGGGCTATTCGCCCCATTCACACGGGGCTTCAGCATCAACGCTTGACAGAGAGTGTGTTTGAAGTTGGGGCTGAAGCGATCATCATAGCAGAGTCAGCCAATGAAATTAGTCAGCCATAGGCCACTGTCTAGCTGGTGTATTTGCATTCAACGATCTGATTGGCTGACGCTTCCGTCGGCGCTTGAAAAGTTGAACTAGTCCCAACTTCTGCAGCGAGCAATGCCTCTGAAGCGGCATCAACGGTCCACAATGCATTTCGCCAACGCCTGACGTCATCCATTCAAAGTGAATGGGAAGCATTGACGCTGACACCCTGTGTGAATGGGGCATAAGGGGTAGAATTGGGATTGGGCCTTAAGGTCACCAAAAGCCAAATCTGTAGTGAAAAGTATGCCACCTTACTCCAAAAAATGTCCTTCAATTAACAACATATTGTCAACACAACAAACAGAGCCATACCTGTTCTGCCCAGCCCTGCATGACAGTGAACAGCCATTTTGCCTTCTTGGATGGCAAAAGACATGACTTTCACCATATCCAGGATAGATGTGAGAGACGCCACGCCGTAGTCAATCCATCTAAAGTTGTAGAAATATACTAAAATAGAGCAACAAGAGTACCTTTATATAACCTGAAGACACAAGAACAGCCACTGTGATATCAAGGCATCAAAACAATTCTTTATAACCTTAACTTATTTACATGAATACATTACACACAAAATTATTGTTTAAATCTTAAAGTTTGGCTGATTAAAAGGAAAGTGTCACTCACTGCCAGCCTCCATGAAGGTCTCTGGTCGGTAAGTAAAGCCACTGTCGGGATCCAGCGGGTTTCCACAGCTAGCATGTTCACCAGGGCACTGGAGGTTAATAATTGTCTTCAAACCACATCTTAACACAGTAAAAGAGAGTAAAAAGAGTGTACCAAACATACTCAAAAACCAGGGAATACTTAAGTAGGACAATTTTACCTCAGAAACTGGTCTATAATGTTGAATTTTTCAATCGTTTCAGTGGAAGGACGGGCCATTGCAAGCATGTCATCAGTAATCCTAGAAACAGAGAAGCTATGAATTGCTAACAAATCTATTTTAGCTTAAACATTAAAGGAATACTTCACCTAATTATTATTTATTTTGAAAATTGCCTAATTTTACATCTCCCTTATTGTTAACAGTTGATTTTTACCATTTTTTGTAGCCATTCAGCCAATTTTAGTGTCTGGCATAGCGCTTTTAGCTTAGCTTAGCATAGATCATTGAATCGAATCAGTCCTTTAGCATCTTGCTCAAAAGTGATTTAAGACTTTGATAATATTTCTATTTAAACACTGACTTCTGTGGGTACATCGTGTACTAAGACTAATAGAAAATAAAAAGTAGCTATTTTCTATACGGCTGGGAACTTTGACGTCGTACCATGGTTCCACCAGCGTAATGTGCGAACAGCACACGCTCCCTGTGCCTGAAGCTGTTTTTCTCTGGCACTGCGTAACATCACTGCTCCTGCTGCTAATGTAAGGCTGCTTTCACACCTGTGAATCGACTCAGTTGTTCCGAAACAGAGATTACAAATGTTACATTGTTGCTCTTTGCTCATGGAGCGGTTCGCTTCAACACTGCAAAGTTTGTAATCGGACGAAAAGAGCTAAAACAAGTCACGTGTGAGTAAACTCTCCTCACATTGGTCAGAGTGTCAGGGTTTATTTTGCAGAGTCCCGCTCAGCTGTCAGGAGAGGAGGTGGTTGGGTGGTGTTTGTCAAGGTCCGCGCGATGTGTCTAAAGAGCGAGGAGAGATGCGGCGGGGAGGGCTGAGAAGGGTGCTTGACGTAGCCTATTTGAGGACCGGCAGGGAGCGCAAGATCACTTGTTTGCGGGTATCTGGAGACTCACGAAACTTCCCGCCCTACTCATAATTCTCTCTTCATATAGCCGTATGCCTGTTACATATCAATAAAACACAATGATATAACCGCGCTCGGATCGTATTGTTTTCTCACTGCAATCGATCCGCTCCAGAGTTTGTTTCAATCGAGCAGAGACCACCTCATTCAAGCGATCTCGGAGCGACTAATTTGGCGCAGATCCGAGAGCGATTGGTGGGTTCACATATGCCAAACGAACCGGGCTAACAGGGCAAACGAGACAGGTTCCGAAACAAAAGTGTAGGTGTGAAAGCACCCTAAGTCGAGAGGGGTCTGAATGGTGCAGACCTGGTGGACTTGCAATCTAAGCTGCATGAAATGCCTTTTAATGGCCAAACCTAACTCCACCCCTAACCCCATCCCTTACGCCCCATTCACACGGGGCGTCAACGATTCCCATTCACTTTGAATGGGTGACGTCAGGCGTCGCCGAACTGCATTGTGGATCCGTCGGCGCCACTTCAGAGACGTTGCTCACTGCAGAAGCTGGGACTAGCTCAACTTTTCAAGAGCTGACAGCCTATCAGATCGCTGTATGCAAAAACACCAACTAGACAGTGGCCTATTGCTGACTGAATTTCATTGGCTGACGCTTCTATGACGATCGCTTCAGCCCTAACTTCAGACACGCCTTCAGTCAAGCGTTGATGCTGAAGCCCCGTGTGTATGGAGCGTTACAGTGACGTCACTAGCTTCATTGAGTGCATTGTGTATGACATTGCATCTCAGAGATATGCAATCTCAGCTTGCAACATCAAGGTTGTATCCAGATACTATTGTGTAAGCAGTGAAAATCATCAACATCAGGAAATATTTGACAAATAATTCTAGGGCTAATAGTTTTGCTTTCAACTGTACATTAATGGCCAAATCCTAGGTTTTAATCTAGTCATTAAAGCAGTATGGATGCACTATTTAAAAAGTACCCACAACGTTAAACCAGGCCAAAAAAACAAAAAATTAAGAAGACAGGATTAAAACAAACTACTAAAAACTGAACAACAGTAAATGGGTGCGTTGAGTACTTTGCCAAACCATATTTGGTGAAGGCGACTATTTACTCTGGTTTCGAAGTGGTCAAGAGCATGCAGTGTATACCATGAAGAGTAGATTCCTCTGATGGCCTGCTGCTCCTCACTCCAGTGCGAAGGGTCCTCGTATTTGCAGGCTTGTCCTCCACATCCCATCGAGCACTGCATATGACAGGGGATCACATAACGCAGCGCCTCTCCAACCATTGTGTAGTGCGCTCTGGGAACACTGGAACCCCTCACTGCAAAAACACAATAGTTTAACCTCTTTCACAATTTTAACACTCGATCTGAAACGAATATCTACTTAGATTAGCAAAACCATTTGTTCATGTCATGACGATGCCAAATACTTTGTAGTCAGTGAACATCAGAAAATGTCAAAATTTAAATCAGACTGTAGAGGAACACACACAGTGTGAACATCAGTGTAATTATTTGATTATTAAAATAATGTAACCTTTTGCCATTCCTCACCAAAATCCATGATACTCCCTCCGCCATGGCAGTGTCTGTTTTGGCACAGAAAAAAAAATAAAATTAGCATTGCAGCAAGTACAAAGTTTGAGGATATGTTACAAATAAGTGGGTTTTTGAATGAAGTCTTTCCCTATTAAATATATTTTTAATTTAATTTATTGTAAATACTCAAGTAGTTTGTTTTCTCTAAAATGATACTTTAATAAGTAGTTCAAAATGTTTTGAGTACATTTTTTAGTACTGTATCAATACAGTGCATTTGGAAAGTATTAATAGCACTTCACCTTTTCCACATTTTTCTTTATTCCAAAATGTATTAAATTAGTTTATTTCCTCAACATTCTACACACAATCCCCCATAATGACAATGTAAGAAAGAGTTTTTGAAATTGTTGCAAATTTATTAAAAATAAAAAAGCTGAAGAATCACATGTACATCAGTGTTCACAGCCTTTGCTCAATACTGTGTTGATGCACCTTTGGCAGCGATTACAGCCTCAAGTCTTTCTGAATATGATCACACAAGCTTGGCACACCTGTCTGGGAATTTTTGCCCATTCCTCTTTGCAGTACCTCTCAAGATCTATCAGGTTGGGAGGGAAGCGATGGTGTACAGCCATTTTCAGATCTCTCCAGAGATGTTCAATAGGATTAAGGTCTGGGCTCTGGCTGGGCCACTCAAGGACATTCACCGAGTTGCTGTGAGGCCACTCCATTCATAATTTGGCTGTGTGCTTTGGGTCATTGTCCTGCTGGAAGATGAACCGTCGCCCCAGTCTGAGGTCAAGAGCACTCTGAAGCAGGTTTTCATTCAGGATGTCTCTGTACATTGCTGCGTTCATCTTTCCCTCTATCCTGACTAGTCTTCCAGTTCCTGCTGCTGAAAAACATCCCCACAGCATGATGCTGCCACCACCATGCTTCACTGTAGGGATGCTATTAGATTGGTGATGAGCGCTGCCTGCTTTTCTCTAAACGTAACGTCTGGCACTCACTCCAAAGAGTTCAATTTTAGTCTCATCAGAGCAGAGAATTGTGTTTCTTATGGTCTGAGAGTCCTTCAGATGTCTTTTGGCAAATTCCAGGCGGGGAGTGGCTTCTGTCTGACCACTCTATCATACAGGCCTGATTGGTGGATTGCTGCACAGATGGTTGTCCTTTTGTAAGGGTCTCCTCTCTCCACAAAAGAACGCTGGAGCTCAGACAGAGTGACCATTGGGTTATTGATCACCTCCCTGACTAAGGCCCTTCTCCCCCGATCACTCAGCTTAGATGGCCGGCCAGCTCTAGGAAGAGTCCTGGTGGTCCCAATCATTTTACACTTACGGATGATGGAGGCCGCTGTGCTCACTGGAACTTTCAGAGCAACAGAAATTTTTCTGTACCCTTCCCCAGCCTTGTGCCTCGAGACAATCCTCTCTGTGAGGTCTACAGACAATTCCTTTGTCTTCATGCTTGGTTTGTGCTTTGGCATGCACTGTCAACCCTGGGACCTTATATAGACAGGTGTATGCCTTTTCAAATCATGTCTAATCAGCTGAATTTACCACAGATGAAATCCAATGAAGCTGCTGAAACATCTCAAGAATGATCAGTGAAAACAGAATGTACCTGAGCTCAACTTAGAGCTTCTTATTTTTGATAAATTTGAAACAATTTAAAAAAGTAATTCTTCACATTGTCATTATGAGTTTTGAGGAAATAAATGAATTTAATCCATTTTGGAATAAGGCAGTAACAAAAAATGTGGAAAAAGTGAAGCGCTATATACTTTCCGGTTGCACTGTATCTTTACCTCTACTGTGATTCCTGTCCAATCAAATCACACAAAAGACTTGCATCACACAGACCAACCTCAAGACATGAGGCTTTATAAATGCAGAAAACATGTACAGTGTAAAGCATTAACACAGTCCAAGATCATGCAAAATCATCACAAACAACTATTGAAAGTATGTTTGGATCAGGGGTGCCCAAACTTATTTAATGAAGGGCCAAAAACCAAACTTGATTGAGGCTAATGGGCCAGAGGTAATTATAGTTGCCATGGGTAATTTCCTAATTCATTTAATAATAATTAAAATTGACTATTAAACTTAATATTAACTAATAATGTTTTTTTTTTTTTACATTTCATAATGAACTGATTACAGTAAAAAAACAAAAAAAACAATCATGCTCGCCGATGTCTGCATTCTCCTCTCTGTGCAAGTACATAAATCATGGGGAATTAGGGAATAATGTGTTAATAAGTTAATATATAAATGTTATTGGTCTTGTTCAATGGTTTTTGTTTTTATAATACCCCATCTATAAATTGCATAACTCAGAGTAAAATCAATTTCTCCCACTGGTCTCACTCCTATAAAGAGTTAAAATAACACTGAAGCAGAGTTAATGTGCTGATTCAACAGAGAATAATGAACTCCTGCTGTTAAAAAGCAGAATCACTGAAGAAAAACACATAACTACAATCAAATTCAGTCACAACCTTAGGCCCTGCTGTTCACACAAACATGGGTACCGTCCAAATTGCAGCTTTTTTTTACTACACAAAAACAACACAGCAAATTCATTAGTGTTAAATTTCGAGTGTTGTGGTAATTCAGAGTAAAGTGTTAAAATACTAGAGTTAGATAAAAATAAAATAACCCTCTCAGTGTTAGAAGCTGATTTGCCTACTTGTCATACAGAGTTACATGTATCTAATGCTAATACAGTGCTGACGTTGACTACTACATCTGGGAATTTATGCAGCAATATCCCTGTAGGATTATTCCAATGAGATGAAGCAACTGGTAAGTAAAGTACTTAAAATGTTTGTATGTAGACATTTGACATCCAAATCGTTATATATACATTAGTTTTAAATATCTCACAAAAAAGTATAATTTTTCATCTTTATTTTGTTCTGTACTAGCTATGTTACATTAAAAATAAAGAAAATAAAGCTGTCTAAAAATTGCTCCCCTTGGTTAAAATATGAGAAGATATGGTTTGTGACTGTTTTGAATTGTTTTCCTTAAACATCAAGCGAACAGTTAACAAAGTGCTGCCGATATTAAACAAGATATATTTTTATTATTGTTGAAAATTTGACCTAAGAGTGTTAACACATAACACTGATGGTGTTCATATGATCTTTTGTGGTGTTAATATTTTACACAATAAGAGTTTGCTAATTAATAATGTTAACTCTTTCAAAAGTGTTATTTTAACACTTTTATAGTGGTTCCCATTTAAATTCTGAGGGAGTGTTAATTTTAACTCTTAGGTAGTTAAATCTATCATCTAAAATTCGCAGTGTGTCAAGTGTGTATATATATAAGTTTTTCTTCTTTTTGACACAGTATTCTTTAGGGGAAATTAGTGTGTGTCTATTCACTTTAAGACAAATGGATTAGTTCTTTGTGTTTTTTATATTCATTAAATTATATGATAATAAATGTGTTTATGAATATGAATTGATCTTTTGAAAGTAGTTGTTTAAAGTTAAAATGTTAAATGTTCTATTAAAATTTTACATTGAAGACTTCTTACAACATATTTGCCCACTTTTAACAATAGTTGCTGCATATTCAAATACAATTTTCTTGAAAAAAAAAATCAAAAACCTGGAGAAAATAAATGCAAAACATGTTCAAATATAGGACACTATTAACAAGGCTACATGCATGAAACCATTTAGAAAGATTTGGGCACAAATGGGCTAAGTCTGACAGTCATGTTTATAACAGAATTATGACAGTTTATGATTTTATATCAAGTTGTCATAACAAAGACACCTCAAACAATGTCGTCTTTGCATTTAAAATGACATGACTGAGCCAATGACACTCAATGACAAATGTCATAAGCATGCATGAAACCTTATTCATATTCTTGCCATGTGTCATGTAATGATTATAAAGGTTTCGTGACAGTCTTATGAACTGTAATGTGTTATCAAATAAAGTGTGACTGAAGCAGTTTTTAAAATTATCCATATTTACTATATTTTTGTGACATTTCTGTCATCTGCATTGAAATAAGGTGGAATAAAAGAGTCATGATTTAGTAAATGTTATTGACTTTTCATTTTTTATCTAAGATATACATTTAGCATTGTTTTAGTTAAATACGACACTTATAAGGTTGTTTTAACAGAGAATTCTGTGAGGTAACATCATATCAGAAAACACAAACTATTCTTTTGAAACCAAAAGGTGTTAAATTCCTCAGTCATCCTCTATTTGATTAATTAAAATAAATGAGTTGTGATTACTCACCCAAAAACAGCTAGAGAAAATCCAATGTACTTTGAGTTGGCTCCATTGGATGCTCAGCTGATCTGATTACTGGTCTCAATCACACGTTCTCTCGGGGTTAGTGGAGAGGAAACGTCACTTTATCAGTAGTCTTCTGTTAAGATGAATAATCTTTTTCGCTGAGCAGAGCTGGCTGTTGCATGAAGACTGGCTGAACATCCTCATCTCCACTGCTGCTGCTCTCTTAGCATGATGCATCACGTCAAGCCAAAGAGTGAAGAAAGCAGCTATTTCAGACTCGCTCACGACTTACCAACTAATCCACTTACTCCTGAAATAGTCCATTTCTCTGGCCGCTGACCTCTGAGGCGGACAGCTTTATCAGCCACAGCGGCTCAGGCTGGACTCCACTCACTTAGGTTTGTTTCATTCCACAGAGGAAATAAAGGTCAACCCAACATTGAGATGTGCCTAAATGGGTTATACCCGGACTGCAATAACCTTTAAACATTTTGAAATAATACAATTTCATTGATTATTTTTAGCCAAGAATATCACAGACTTTTAATATAACTACTTTATTTTTTTTAAATGAAAAAAAAAAAATTTTATATTTGAATAATTGTTGGTTTCTTTGTTTGGATGTTTAGCATAATAGTTGTTATATACTGTTATACACACACACACACATATATATATATATATATATATATATATATATATAATTATTTATTTATTTATACAAAAGTTCTGTCTGGTTCTCGAATCTGATATGTTTGATATGTTTAATTAATATTAAAGTAATAACCCGTACATCCTCTTTACCCTTCGTGTATTACTCCCCCCACATACAGCCAGCAAAAAGCAGACACTACAGATCTTAAGTTTAAAAGATGCTTGCTCAGCTGTTTAACTGTCAGCTTATAATTTGCATCCAACGTGGAAGAAAGTAGTTCCTCATACAAAAGGGTTTTTGAGACTCTCCAGGTTTGATGTTGTTTTTATGTACACAATTATGCTGTCAAACTGTTGTATAAACACAATTGCTCATATATATATATATATATATATATATATATATATATATATATATATATATATATATATATATATATATATATATACATATATATATATATACATATATATATACACACACACACTATATATATTCACACACTTATTTTTTGTCCTTTACTGACAGCCGAGTGTGTGGATCTTGTTGGAAAATATGGCGAAAAGTCCTATATGACGGTAATAGTTTGATCGCGGTGTTTTCTTCAATATTGCCAATAATATAGGCATACTGCACGTCTTAATTACATTTCTGTTTAGTTCAGTTATGACTTTAGTTGGATTAAAAAATAAATAAACATTTTTTAAAAATCGCTGTTTCAAGCTTGGGGGCGAGGCAGTGGCGCAGTAAGTATGCTGTCGCCTCCCAGCAAGAAGGTTGCTGGTTCGAACCTCGGCTCAGTTGGCGTTTCTGTGTGGAGTTTGCATGTTCTCCCTGCCTTCGCGGGGGTTTCCTCCGGGTGCTCCGGTTTCCCCAACAGTCCAAAGACATGCAGTACAGGTGAATTGGGTAGGCTAAATTGTCTGTAGTGTATGAGTGTGTGTGTGGAAAACTTGCTGGATAAGTTGGCGGTTCATTCCGCTGTGGCGACCCCGGATTAATAAAGGGACTTTTATTCATGTTTAACTGAATAAAAAGTTAGTAAACACAAGTAAATCTTATTAAACATCATTTATATTCATCACCAATTGAATAATGTAAGGGAAAATGAACTTAAAATAAACAGGTTACCTTCAAAAAAAGTTTGGCCAATAAAGCAAAAAATCTCCACAGAAAGTGGAAGGAGGCTAAAGTCGCATGCTGTCCTGTTGTTCCAGGGACTGACATGACTTTTGTGCATGTGAGGGGATATTAAAGAGAAATTAACGTCTGTTTACTGTCTTTAATAGTAAAGAAGACACGTTTTAACAGAATGAAATGAGAATCAGGAGGTGTTTCTCCGTCTAAAGTAAACCAGAGACGATTGAAGTCATTGTTTAGGTAGTAAATCTCCAATATTTTAATTCATTTCAGTCCCTTTATTAATCTGGGGTCAACACAGCAGAATGAACCGCCAACTTGTCCAGCATGTGTTCCACGCAGCGGATGCCCTTCAAGCTGCAACCCATCACTGGGAAACACCCAAACACACTCATTCACACACATACACTAGGGACAATTTAGCATATATCAAGTTCACCTATACCACATGTTTTTGGACTTGTGGGGGAAACCGGAGCAATCTCCAATATTTTCTTTGCTCCAAATAATAAAACATAGTATTGCTAAAATCGTTACGCTATAAATCTTGATATTTAATCTATCGTTTACTGCAATAAACCAAAACTGCATATTTTGTAATTATTATTCAACTTTGACACTCTATTCCTCGAAAACAGATCATGCAACTTCAGGATTTCACAGAGGGTCACATAAGCACCATATTGTAAAAATCACTGTTAAATTATAAATATGAATATTTCATAAAACTGTATAAATATACTATAAATACAAATATGCTCAATGATTAAACCATATTAGCCCATTGTAAAAACCAGATGCTTCATAAAGTGGGACTAATATGTTTTTCAATATACTAATATTTGTATACAGGTATACAGTATTTTCCTTTCCTCTCAATTCCTTCATTAGTAGAAGCACACTGTAATCATCCATGCCATTACAAATCGTTCTGAACTCAGTAACTGAAGATGACAATGAGGTGAGGTTCTCAAAGCTTTGCAAACTGATGGACTTACAGCAAATCTGATTAAAGCAGAGTCTCTTAA